GGTTGGCTCAACAACCAAGAGTAAGTCACTTGAAGACAGGCTTGCCTGGTTGTTCCTTATGGAACTACCAATGAGCTAGGCACAGCTGGAGCTGGAGCACCTCCAGGGACTCCAGGCCTCTATGGATTGCCCTTGGGGCCTAGCAATGTCTGCTTCAGGCCTGAGGCTGGGCTGAGCTGGGCAGGCAGCCAAGCCTGTGCTCAGGAACAGCAGCCAGGGTTGGCACAGAGGAAGGAGGATTCTGGAGGCTGGTGTGCAGAGAGGGAGGGAGGGTGTAAGAAACAGCTGGAGTAAGGTTGAAGGAGAAAGGCTGGGGACTGATCTTGATCTAGTGTAAGCTGAACCAAGTTCCTGTCTGGTAGATAAATACCCAAAGGAGTATATGGCTTAAGAGTAGGTTTCTCAGTAAGTGTATGTGTGAATAGTTCCACCTCCCCCACTTTTTTTTCCCAGCCCTTCTCCCACCTTTCTTTGTCCTTGATACTATTTGATCCATTTGTGCCACATGGCTAAAACAGGAGAGCAGTCACTTGACTTGCAGTGGTAGAGCTGGGCTGGCTACTGAAGAACACTTCCTGTGTGTAAAAGAAGCTTAAGTCTGTCAGTGACTTTGTGATAGCAATAATAATGATTACACAGAGAGGCGGACACTTCATTGAATGCTTCTATATACCAAATCCATGGATTATCTCATTTCCTCTGCTCAACAGCCCTTGGAGGTGCAGTGGAATAAGCTGGTGACAGATTTGGTCAATAGATACCATCTCTGGATTACTGTGCTTTCTCCCTTCCTAGAGAGGTTCCTTGACCTCAATGTGCTGCCATTTAATTTCCTGGAACTCAGTGATTATTGCACAAAGCTACGTTTCTATATGGCTGTGATTACAATGTGCTAGCAGATAGGTAGTGATATTCATTACTAATAATTGTGTTGTTTTTGGAAACTAGGCACTAGAGTATCTAGATTATACAGAAGCTGTCCGCAGGTGGCAGTGGGAGAGTGGAGAGCCACCTGGAAAGACACCTCCATTAACAGAGTGTAATTGCCTAGAATCTAGAGATCCTGTCTTTGCAGAGCTACAGAAGTGAATGAAAGAGGAAAGGGAAAGCCTGCCTCGGTTAGGAACAGGGTATGGTTAACAATTTAAAAGATTCACCAAGACACAACTTGTTTTTTTACTGAGGATGAATCCCAAGGAAATCACATCCTATGGAGAGCCTGATTCTCCGTGTGCTGTGGCTTTGAAGCTTTTTGAATCCAGTCAGTGGTGTGGTATGAGATTGGTTTTGTTTTTGAGACTGGGTCTCACTGTGTAGATCAGGCTGACCTTGAACTCACAGACATCCACTTGTCTCTGCTGGGATTCCCAAGTGCTGGGATTAAGCACTATGTCTGGCCTTTTATTATTACTATTGGTAATAACATTGTAAAATTATTATTATTATGTGGAGGGTGGGGCATGTGCACTCATGTACCATGGCATGTGTGTGGTGGTCTGGGACAATTTTCAGAGGTCTGTCTTTCCCTTCTACCATATAGGTCCTGGGGATTGACTTCAGGTTATCCCTAACTTGGTGGCAGGCACCTTTATCACTGAGCCATATCAGCAGCACTTGTGAGACTTTTTTTTTTTTTTTTTTGATTTTTCGAGACAGGGTTTCTCCGTAGCTTTTGGTTCCTGTCCTGGAACTAGTTCTTGTAGACCAGGCTGGCCTCGAACTCCCAGAGTTCCACCTGCCTCTGCCTCCCGAGTGCTGGGATTAAAGGCATGCACCACCACTGCCCAGCTGTGAGACTGTTTTTTAGACGAACTTGAGCTAATGACTTTGGGGATAGGGCTGACTGGATGTACCAGGTACTATTATCTACCTTTCCTGACTGATCATGTGCAATATGTAAGTAGGTTTAGGAAATTCAGTTGGTCACAGAGCTAGGCTTCAGTTTCATGGCTGGAGCTTCCACCACACTGATATGGAGCAGGTCTAGGGCAAGCGGACTAGTTCTAGCACACCTCCTCCTTTCCTGGCATGGGGACGTCTTTGAGCGCGCATGCAGACAGTGTGGTGTTCTCTCTGGAGGCTGGTGGTTAAGGTCTGCAGCTCTGAGGCTGCTCTGTTGTTGCTCCCGAGCATTACTCACTGTGCTGTCCCATGATCCTTTGGTCGTGGCTTCTTGAACTAAACATTCCAGTTTCTGTTTGTTCTGTGATGTTGGATAAATTTACTGTATGTTTGCAGAGCCTCAGTTTCCCTGTCTTTAAATGGCATTGTGGTGAGGAGGTCACATGAACTAATAATTTTTTAAAAGCTTACTTAGTATAGAGCTTGGCTCTGTATCAAATGCTCAATAATTGATGGCTGCTGTTAGCCAACAGCCAGTGAAACCTTCAGCTTTGAAAAACTGAAGAAGGTTCTGACAGCCTCCTGAACACAGGACTGGTTGCTGTGACTGGGCCTGGAGAAGCCCAGAGAACTCAAAAAGCAACCCAGGAGCAGTATCCACCAGCAGACAAGAAAATACTAGCTCTGACTCGAGACCACTACTCCCTCCCACTAGAATGGGAACCTTTCAAAGAAAGGCACTGTGACAGAAGAAAGCCGGCCTTCTGTCACTGGGTGATTGATCATCTGCCGACATTGATTTCCCCCTTTTTCTCATCTGCTGAACATATTAATAGCCTTCAGGCTTCAATTGGTTCCGCTGTATCAGGTCATCAAAAGATGTTTTTACATGAAGACCCAGCAGAGTAAATGGGATTTAGGCCTCTACGGTAGCCCCATCTGTTCTGCCCTTACCTTTAGGCCTTGATGCCAGGCTTTGGAAGGAACTGCTGTACTGAGGCATCTGTCCAGTGGGGGCGGGGTGAGTGGCCTGGGTAGGTGGGTCAGAAGGAGGGCAGGAAATCCTCTTATCGCACTGGGTGCTGGGCCTCCTGCAGCAGGAGCTGAGCAGCAAACACTGGTGAGTCAGCCAGTCTGTGAGCATGTGGGGTTTGTGTAAGTTTGGGCCTTTTGTTTCTTTCAGCAATCTAGACTTTAGAAACACAAATCTGGAAACCAGACCCTCCACATGCTGCAGTCCTTGTTTGGAGAGAATTCTGCTGGAACAGTTACTTCTCTTGTATGATGGTCTTCCAAGAATTAACCCCTTGCCTTTTGAAATTTGAATAGGTTTCACTTATGGCTTACTACATGGCCCAAAGTATGAACAGCCTGTAAGAAACCATGCTGGGGTCTGTCACTTTTCATAGCCAAAATACTTTTAAGGGTGTGTGTGTGTGTGTGTGTGTGTGTGTGTGTGTGTGCTAAAGCAAGTTGGAACTGTAGTTCTTTTGAGGGCATGTGTAGACATGTCTTTGTCTCTGAGGGTGGAGAACAGGACACACCCTGATAGGAGTCTGCCCTAGCTACAGGAATGGTTGTGGGTCTTTTTGGATGACTACACTCACTGCTTCCTTTTAGAGAGAATCCTCTTGAAGGGAACTCCCAGTTTATCTGGACACTGTTGCTAGTAGAAGCTGTTTAATTTTTTCAGCTTTTCTTAACAACTGCCCTTTGCCCTATTACCAGACTCGTAAGAACTCTGAATTTGCACTATGAAGGGCCATGGAGGCTCCTTAGAAGTGGGAGGCCCATGCCGGACCGACATTGATTTTTTTTTGTCTGATGTCTGCTTTCCTTGTTACACTGCTGGCTCTGCATCCACACACTAACAGTGCGGTGTCAGTGGCCGCCATTGTTCTAGTAGTTGGCAGAATTTCGCAAGTACTAAATTGCAAATGGATTGTCTATTATAGCAAACTAGTTGGCAGTTAAGAACAAGCCCTGAGTAGACTGTATTAGAGAAGTTGCTTCTGCTTTTGTCACAAATTTCTAGCAGTTCATATAAAAAAATTAAGTTATAACAAATAATACGAACTGAAGAATTTGCTCAATGTAGCCTTTCAATCTGGCAGTTGTATCTCTTTGAGACTGTACTGGGCGTGGAGACACACCTAGGTTGGGAAAGTACCTGGACTACAGGCTCCATATAGGTGGGTGGAGCAGGACCTGTGTGAATCCAAAGGATCAGACACATTTCAGTTGACTGGTTGGTTGGCTAGGCCCCTGCTTGTAGTTTTGACATTGTAACTCTTTAACTCACCATTAGACCATTATGAGATTACAGGTGGCTTGGATATTGCCTCTTCTCCCTAGTCCACCAGAATCCAGCCGGACAAACCAATGTATTTTATTGGACTTATTGAGGAGTGTGAATGACCTTACTTCTTAGGACTTCATAGGAGTTTCCTCATGAAGTCTTGCTTTCAGTTAATTTTCCATTCCTTATTTCTGCTAGCATCTTAGGGAGAAGGGATGGCTGCTGTGAGGTGAGGCTCCTTTAACTCTCCTCGACTCCTACTGAGGAGTGTCACCAGTTCCATCCATTACTGTTACCATAGACTTAACCACTTCTGTATTGTTCTGCTCAATTAGTTCCCATGGCTACCAGGCCAAGATAATTTATACTCCAAGGTTTTGCTTGTGTTATGCTGGGAAGAAAAGACTTACTGAAACAATCTTTATTAAAATCTGAACACATAGGTTATTTGGTGTAGAGCCAGATGATGAACTTCTGGCTTAACTCAGGTCCAGATAACTTTCTTATGTGAAGGCCAAAGTTGACAAGACATATATCCCCAGAACACTGTCAGAAACGTAGTCTCTGATGTTCTGCAAATGAATCAGCCTCCTGTAACCTGTGCTACTTTAAGGATTCTAGGAATTTCCCATGCTGGTTCTCCATGTATCCCTTAGCCACCATTTCCAAGGATAAGCCATGGAGATGAATTACAGGAGTGGTGGGGGGTGGGGTACGGTCTTTCCCTTGTTAGCTAAGTTTCCCTCGTTTCCATTGTTAGCTAAGTGAAATAGAGTGGTCACTGGTGGACAGTTCTGGAGTGTAGTGTATCTACCTCACTCCTCTGCTTATAGGTGACTGTTATGTAATTTCCTTCCAGGTTGGCTGGCTCCTCTAACTGATGGCATGTTGAAGTACATGGGCCAGCAACAACGAGGGCATCTGATCCGGAGGGGGCCACTCTAGAGGCCAGGCCATCACCACCATGGGCCAGTGTGTCACCAAGTGCAAGAATCCTTCATCAACCTTGGGCAGCAAGAATGGAGACCGTGACCCTAGCAGCAAGTCACACAGCAGGCGGGGAGCTGGCCACCGTGAGGAACAGGTGCCACCATGTGGCAAACCAGCTGGGGATATCCTTGTCAATGGGACCAAGAAAGCAGAGGCTGCCACTGAGGCCTGCCAGCTGCCAACATCTTCTGGAGATGCTGGGAGGGAGTCCAAGACCAATGGTGAGGAGTCTTCCTTGCAGAGGTTGGAAGAACTGTTCAGGCGCTACAAGGACGAGCGGGAGGATGCAATCTTGGAGGAAGGCATGGAGCGCTTTTGCAATGACCTGTGTGTTGATCCTACGGAATTTCGAGTGCTGCTCTTGGCCTGGAAGTTCCAGGCGGCTACCATGTGCAAATTCACCAGGTTAGTTACGGATGCTTCCTTGTCAGCAGGTGAACAGAGGAGGAAAGAAAGTGACATTGGGTAGTAGTACCAGCTAGGGCAGAACTGGGCTGACTTCACAGGTTTGGGGCAAGTGGTCTCCCCTCCTTTCTGGCCATTTTCTCTAAAGCTTAAGTGTTCTGAGTTGTAGTTCTGATCCAGAGAATTCCCTAGACTCTCCTAAGGGATTATTATTATTTTATCACATGTCTGGTACTGTAGCATAATTACTGAACAGATTTCTCAATAGGGATTTATGTCTCCATAAAGCCTTGAATTCCTTTTTTTTTTTTTCCCTCTGTGTAATAGTCCTGGCTGTCCTGGAACTAGCTTTAGTAGACCAAGCTGGCCTTGGATTCATAGAGACCCACCTGCCTCTGCTTCCCTAGTGCTGGGATTACAGATGTGCACCACCACTGCCCGGCTAAGTCTTGGATTCTTTACCCTGGTACCTCAGCCTCCAAGGACTGGGTTTATAAACATGTACCATTTGCTGTCCTGGTTTTTTTTCTTATATAACAAAGCACTGCCTGATTGATAGGTCACGGTTGTATTTATCATAGCACAAAGTGGCAGCCTAACTCTGGCTGCTAACACTCCGCCTGAAGTTAATAAGGACTAAGCAGTGTGAAGCCTGTTGCTAAGTTGCTGCTCAGCTGCGCTGATAGCTGCTCAGAACTTGTCTCTTGCTCCTTTATATGTCAGTTCACTCATTCGATATTTATCTGTAGTCTGCCGGGCATTAAGTGTCTCTGCAGCTAGGCCTGTGTGCAGCGAGGACAGCTGGCCCCAGTTGTCAAGAGGGAGTTGTACAAATTGTCATAGTTATGTGTCCATATTGGGGTCGTTTGTATATAAGGATATGGCAGGATCATGGCAGGCCATGACTTGAAGAGTGCAGGGTTATGGATAATAACTGACTTTTATTTTTTATTGTTGTTAAAGATGGAGTCTCACTATATAGCCCTAGTGGCCTGGAACTGGATATGTAGACCAAGGTGGCCTCAGACTTCAGGATCTGCCTGCCTTTTGAGTGCTGGGCTTAAAGGCGTGAGCCACCATACCTGCCCTGGCAGAACGGACTTCAAAACTCATCCATATGGCCAGTAGATCTGCACAGTAGATCAGATGCCTCACGCTTGAGCAACCTGTACGGTCCCTGAGATGATAAGTGTGAAACCATGTTATAAATTGCAAAGTGCTGTATACATGTTAAAAATGCGCACACCTGGGTGTGGTGGTACATGTCTATAAAACCCGCCCTCAGGAGGCTGAGGTACAAGGGTAAAGAATTCAAGGCTAGTTTGGGCTACCTATCTCATAAAACAACAGAAACAAACAAAAATATAGTTAAAAGCTTTTAAAAACTACATAGTTTTGGTTTTGTATGTGTGTGCATGCACATAGATCATGCTGTGAGTGTGAGGGGGCAAAGGACAGCTTGAGGGAGTTGGTTCTCTGTCTTGTGGGCTCTTGGGATCAAACTCAGGTCTTAGTAGCAAGTATGTTTACTTGCCGAGCCATCTTGCCAGGCCCTCAAAGCCGTGTTTATGTGCTTATGTTTATGGGTGTATTGCCTACATTGTATGTCTCTGCACTGTGTGCATTCTTGGTACCCTCAGAGGCCAGAAAATGTGTGAGATCCCCCAAAACTGGAGTTGCAGGTAGTTGTGAGCTGCCATGTGGGTTAGAGGAATTGAACTGGGCTTCTTTGCAAGAGCAGTCAGTGCAGTCCACTGTGCCATCTCTTGAGCTCTGGTTTTTTGTTTTTTGTTTTTTTTTTTTTCTGTTTGTCTATCTATATCTCTTTATTTTCAAGGCAAGGTCTGACTATTGAGCCTTAGCTGTAGAACACTGTGTAGACCAGGCTGGCCTAGATAGAACTCAGAGCTCCTCCTGTGTCTGCCTCCTGTTACTGTACTGTTGTTACTGTGCTGTCTTCCTCACCATATATGGCATCATTTTTACTTATTAATCATACCTTTTCCTACCTGTCACAGGAAGGAGTTTTTTGATGGCTGTAAAGCAATAAGTGCAGACAGCATTGATGGGATCTGTGCACGGTTCCCTAGCCTCTTAACAGAAGCCAAGCAAGAAGATAAATTCAAGGATCTCTACCGGTTTACATTTCAGTTTGGCCTGGACTCTGAAGAAGGGCAGCGGTCATTGCATCGTGAAATAGCCATTGCCCTGTGGAAACTAGTATTTACCCAGAACAATCCTCCTGTATTGGACCAATGGCTAAATTTCCTAACAGAGAACCCCTCGGGAATCAAGGGCATCTCCCGGGACACTTGGAACATGTTTCTCAACTTCACTCAGGTGATTGGCCCTGACCTCAGCAACTACAGTGAAGACGAGGCCTGGCCGAGTCTCTTTGACACCTTTGTGGAGTGGGAAATGGATCGGAGGAGAAGAGAAGCAGAGGGGAGAGGCGCACTCAGCTCAGGGCCCGAGGGCTTGTGTCCAGAGGAGCTGCACTGAGGATCTGCCTGCTGCCCTGCAGCCAAGTGAGGAATTGGACCTTTCTGGAAATTACTGAAGATCCGGATATTTTCTACTTAACACCTTTCTCTGCCTTGTATTTGAAAGGGCTCTAAAATGCTGTATCATGTTTTAGGCACTTTCTTCATTTTTTTGGTTATTTTGGTTATTTCTTTTTTGGGTGAGAAATCCCCCAAAAATATTTGAACCTGGCTACATGTTGTGTACCTTTTTTGAAGCCTTCAGATAGAATAAGCCTGCCATTTCTTGCACAAATGTATTAGATTTGTTTTGGTTTTGTGGGGGAGGGTCTAGGCCTGGGTGGGGAGGGACTGTTAGGTTGAGTTAACATTACAATGACACAGTGCCAGATCTCAGTTTTGCATATTACTTTTCAGGGCAGGTCTGTACTGTGTGTAGTGCTGTTTACATGGTTGAATTTAGGTTGTAATAATTATTTTAAAAAAATTTACACAGATAGGAATAGCAGTGTTAACTGTTAGCCACATTGCATTAATTTCCAGACAGTTTGGAGCTCTCGGAGAGCCAGGGCCAAGGCCAGTCAAGAGCATTTGCAGCCTGACGCCCCATCCATCCCTTTAAGCTAATTTATCCAAAGCCCTTACCTCCCTCACTTCTTGCCCATTCCTTCTTTGACCTATTGCATTTCATGTTTAATTTATCCATCACCATGCTGTACCTGTCAGTCAAGTGAGCAGTTTTGTTTTGTTAGAACACATTGTACTGAAACCACTTAAGCGTTGAATGCAGAGAAAGCAGTGCTACCTCAGTTTTGCTGGAAGTAGACTTCTTTGATAGTTTTCTTTGATGTTTTGTATTTTCATGTCATGAGTGGAAATGCTTTTTTTTTCTTTTTTCTTCTTTTTTTCATTTGCCTTGGAGCCAAAGTTTCCGTTCTGGGTGGTGAGAAAAGCATGCCTGCCGGCCAGCTGACCAAGAAAACTATAGCATGGAACTCTGCTTCAAACTGTTTTTTTTTTTTTCTTTAGTTTTTATTGAGTATCATCAGCTTACTTGTCTGGCAAGTGCAGAAGCCTGAGGCTGGCCTGAACTCTGCCAAACAAATTATCCAAGTGTATTGAATCATTAAGTGTATGCCCTCTCCCTCTCTGCTGCGCCCACGTTGTCACTTAACCCCCAGGAGTTATTTATTATCTTTTTGTTCATGTCAAGCTCATTTGGGGTAATGTGATGACTGTTTAGGTTTACATGACCCTCCTCTCCTTCCCTTACCCCCAGATATGCATATATACATATATAAGATATGTATATATTTTACCTTTATAAAATATATATATACACATATATGTATCTATATTCCTTTATTTGTCCGCTAAAACTGGCCATAAAAGAGGGAGCTGCCTTTGATCTGCAGTTAAGATGCCAGGGAGCATCATAAATGGAGGCTGTTGTATATGAATTTGGACATTTTCACTGAACTTGAATGAATTTGCTCACAGGAAGGAGGAACCAGTTCTCTAGACTCCACATGTTCACTCTGCCAGGCCAGCTTTGGTCAAGCTGCCACCAGGGCTTGAGGAGCTGACTCTGTCCTACCTAGTTTACTAGAGGACCCTCTTGATAATTTCCCATTAAAAAAATATCCTCAAAAAAATTGTACTGGAAGGTGGGTGGTAGGAGCTTGTATAGTTCAGCTTCCAATACTTCGGAACAGATTAAAAAGGGAATCTTTTAATAAAAGTTACAAAAATATTTATACTCTTGATACAATGAAAAGTGTCTGTTAAATATTTGGAATTTTCTCCCTTGATTAGTCTACCCCAAATACTGGGTATATGTTTCTCGCCATGGGCAAGAGTTGCATGCTTTGAGTTCTTTATGAGTCTTACAGCTCTGGGCTCCTGTCTTTATAAAGATGATTATTTAAGGTGATGACAGTCCTATTTCTTAAAACTACTATTGACACAGGGAGCGTTTTTGTAGGCCTGACAACTGTCCTTTCTTGAGGCACAGATGAGAAACCTGAAAATCAGCCCCAGACATAAGATTGTCCTGGAAGGCCGAAGAGGCTGATGGCCAGATGTGCTTCTTTCTTCTAGCCATAGTAAGACAAAGTCCTTGAGCAAGTCAGTATCCAGGGGCCCAACAGTTTCCCAGGGCACAGCTACACGGCAGCCTTTGGAGATCTCACCCAGCCAGTCGTTCTAATGCTGGAGTAGGTGGAAGTCCAAGGAGGGAAGGAGTAGTGGAGTGTTGTAGGTAAGACTTTCTGTCCCTGGTAAGAAAGGGTGTATGTGCAGGGAAGTGCCAAGAGAGGGAGGCTGTCAGGGCCCCATGGACTCAAGGAACTAGATTTCTTTCCCTCTGGGTAGATTCTGGCTGATGGTCGGTCAGTTTCTCCAGCCCGTCATTTAGAAATTATTTGTGACTGTATTTATAATGCTGCTGTTGAGAAACCAGAGAAAGGAACAGTTAGAGGGACCTGGGGTTCTCTGTGCAGTGGTCTTTTGTTTGTTTTGCCAAGAGATTCACAGCAAGGTATAAGGTTTGTAGTTAACAGTTCTGAGAAACAAAACCCTCTGTTTCACTCACCCTCAGATAGGCTTGCTCCAGCAGTGGCTGGAGGCCAGATGTTTGCCCCTCAGGTAAGCCAGCTTTGTGACACTGGGGTGATGTGGGGAGGTGTGATGTGTGGGTGCCATTTTGGAATTCTGCAACATCTAAGCATTACTACACAGACAGATTCTGTTGGAAAACTGCTTACTTTTGGCAAGCAACTTTTTGAGTTCCCATGGTATTTCTTTAGTTATTTATTAGCAAGCTGTATGAGGTAAAGGGTTGTTTTATTGAATTCTTTCCCCTAGCCTTGCCAAACTTGAATGTATCATTCTTAATGACACTTTGCTGTACTTCTAGAGGTTGCCTCAGCAGCTCTCTTTACTGTGGCGGATGTGCCAACATGTGTATTGTTGGGTCCAAAAGCCTGTATGTACCCATCTGATAAAAGAAAATCTCTCCAGAGCTGGCTGAAAATTCAAATTTCAGCCAAAGCTTTAGGCTAAGGGAAAGATAACAGAAAATGTGCAACGCAGTATTGTTCATGTTGGATGGACACAAAGTAACGAGTTAAGCTGCACATAGTATTAGCTTGAAACAGTCTCCTAGGGCCTGGTCTTTGGGACCCCATAGATTATGTACTTGGACCATTGGTGGGAAGTTGCTGAGATAAAGGCTAGTCCAAAAACTAAGGAAGCAAAGGGTCTATATATTGGAATGTATGGTTTGCTATATTTCAAGTGGGGTCTTCAGTGCAGCAGGTAGACCCGGCTATACAGTTACACAAGGGGACAGGAGAAAGCTACTGTTAAAAAGTCCCCCTCTCCCCCTTCTTTCTTAGACTTATTTTCCCATGTATGTTAGGATGGCTAGTGATGACTTGAACATCTCGGTAACTGACAAGGGTCTTACTTGAAGGACTCGAGCAGTATTTAGCTTTAATACTTGAACGAACAAAATTATCAAAATATGTCTGTTAGGGCTTTTTAAAGGACATGTGACATTGATCTTCCCTTTTGGGTCACGTAGAGGGGAAGTTCTTGCCACTCCTCTTCAGAGTACATTCCTATGGTAAGCTGTAATAGCAGTCCATACCAGTTAGCCCAGGACTACATGCTGGGGATGATTATCAGCCTCTCCCCCCACCTTTTAAAAAGAATGATGCTTAAGCATTGGGCGCAGATGCTGAGATGGTGTGATTGGCTGAGTAATCAAGTTCTGATTCTAGTGTTGGAGTGGAGTGTTCTGTTTCTCTTGGAAACCCAGCCTGCTCTCAGATACCTACTTCTATCACGTATCTATCTCAAGCATTGCCAGAAGAAGCCATTCAGCAGCTGCTGTTTTTCTCTCAGCACAACTGTATTTGCTATGGAAGAAGTACCTTCCCTCTAATACTGGTCCCCAGTCCTCAGAATCTGATTAACTGCTCTTCCCTGCTGCACTGAGTATGGGTCTAGGTTTCGAAGAGGGAATTTGAAGCAATAGGTAAACAGGGCTTGGTTAAATTTTGATATCACACATATCCTGTCGTAAGCCGCTGAGGTGATGAGTCCACTGCTCATGTGACCCTCCACCTTTGTGGATCCCTCTTGGTTTGTGACCAGCATATGTCTGAGGTTGTACAAACTTGACAAAAGGTAATACTTTTGTATTCTCTGCACTGTTGCACTCTTCAAATAGCCCCTGAATATTAACTTGATATACACATTTTTGTCTTTGATGTCTACAGTATTTTTTTGTTTTTGTTGTTTTTTATTTTGAAGGTTATCTGCTGTTGGATTCAATAAATTTGTTTACCTGACTATTGATATTTCTGCAGAAAACAAAAACCAGTGAATTTATTCTGAGGCATTAGTTATAAGACTTTTTCCAGTGATGCTGTGCCATGTTAACTGTGTGGGAAAATGACCCATGTAGGATAGGAGCCCAGCTCCAAACACAGGTGATCATCTCCGTGCACTGTCCCTGCTACTGAAATCGTCTTTATGAAGTCACTCAAGTCCCATGAAAAAAGTTCATTGTGAGCCCTGTGTATGCCCCTAGGTCTAATCAGGCTTGCAGTGATTAAGTTTACTTTTTATTCAACTGCAAAATAAAGGCATCTCCATCAGTGTTAGGATTTAAGAAAAAGTCTACGAAATACCCATGATACCTCAGTGTTCAACCATCCCTCTTAACAGTCTCCAAAAAGATGTTAGGTACATTGGGGGGCAGGGAGCAGAGTTTAGTGTGTGGCATTTACATTTGATCTTTCATCACTCAAGCTCCCAAAAAGGGCTCAACTTTCTATTGTGCCAAATTGGGAGATGAATTTTTTTTTGAACTTTTTAAAAAAATCTTATTTTATATACCAATCCCAGTTTCCTCTCCCTCCTGTCCTTCCACTCTCCCCACCTTTTCTCCCCTCCCCCATCCACTCCTCAGGGGAGTCAAGTCTGTCACATCACTTGAGGCAGGACACCAGGGCACCCTCTGTATGTAGGCTGAGCAAGGGATCCCTCCACAGGGAATGGGCTCCAAAGAGCCAGTTCACACACTAGGGATAAATACTGGATCCACTGCTAGTGGCCCCACAAACTGCCCTTGCCACACAACTGTCACCCACATTCAAAGGGCCTAGTTCTTATGCTGGTTCCCCAGCTGTCAGTCTGGGGTCAGTGAGCTCCCACTAGCTCAAGTCCGCTGTTTCTGTGGATATTCCCATCATAGTCTTGGCCCCTTTGCTCATAATATCACTCCTTCCTCTCTATGACTGGACTCCAGGAGCTCGGCCTAGTGCTTAGCTGTGGATCTCTGCATCTGCTTCCATCAGTTACTGGCTGAAGGTTCTATGATGACAATTAAGGTGGTCATCAATCTGATTACAGAGGAAGGGCAGTTTAGGTACCCTCTCCAGGACTGCTTAGATTCTTAGCTGAGGTCATCCTTGTGGATTCCTGGGAGTTTCCCTAATGCCTGGTTTGCTAACCCCACAGTGGCTCCCTCTTTCAAGGTAACTCTTTCCTTGCTCTCCCTCTTTGTCCTTTACCCAACTAGATTTCCCAATCCCTCATGTCCCCCCTGCTCCCTTTCTCTCCACACCATACCACTCTCCCCCATCCCCTCATGCTGCCAACTTACTAAAGAGATCCTTGTCTACTTCCCCTTGGGGGGGTCCATGTATGTATCTCTTAGGGTTCTTGTTTCCCATCTTCAGGAGAGGAAAAAGCTAACAAGAACATCTATTCTTAACTTCTAGACTTAAGCCCCTTAGTCCCTCTCTCGTACTTTCTGGTTATTGTCTGTTCAACAATGGCACTGACTAGCCATCTTGCTCATTTCTTTGGTGGAAGTGCTAATGGTTTCTAAAGGTTCCTAGCCTCTTGGTATCTTCTAAGATGTAGTAGGTGCAGGATGGGGATCAGAAAAGGCTTTTCCGTTAGAAAGGTATTAATAAATAAGCTTGATGTTCCCTAGAAACTGTGTAGTTTTACCCTTGTTCCACACTCCTCCCATTAACTATTTCTGGGCTTTGTCCCTTCTATTAAGCACAGATAGGGACTTACAGATTGGAGAGTAGCAGAGTGGAATGGAAAATAGACAGCTTGGGTGCTGTTAACAGTGCTGTATGGATTACAAGCAGATAAAATCCATTTTCAATTAGATGATTGGCAAGTAGTTTTTATACAGTTACCAGATGAGCATAATTGCATATGGAATGGACTTCTATCAAGAAAATTATACTAAAAAGTAGTTCAGAGGGATAGAGAAGAGTCTTCAATTCTTGTCTCTCCTATCAAGTCCTCAAAGCAGATAGCTGACTTGGCTCTATAAGTTATCCCTCTAGCCCTTGGTGTTGACCCAAATTATAAAAGAAGCAAAGGTAGATAATCGGGTAAATTGGGTATATGCCGAGGTGTCCGGAGGTATAGAAGTCAAATCATTAGAGATATATAAGCTTTGCCATTGGCTATTTACACTGATCCTTGGATCAATCGGGACTTTAAATTATAAGAGTTCTATGTCTTAAAAAGCAAACTAGAAACACTTTAAATGTTTCTAACATACTTAATCCACAAGAAGCTCTTAAAAAGTCAACATGGAAAAGTAGTTGGCTTCCCAACACACCAGGCAACAGAAATATACAGCTCGCTGAAGAAAATCTGACCAAAAAGCTTCTAAGTTAGATGTCAATCTAAGTGGTACTCAAGAAAATAGTAATTAAACATATGAAAATGTTCTTTAATGCAGCACACTGGCAAAGATTTGAGACAAATTATGCTGGTAAACAGTGGAATCTTTTTGTAGTCAAAAGAACTAAGTATCAATATGCATCAGTACAGAAGCTTTTCTTTCTTTCTTTTTTTTTTTTTTGTTTTGTTTTGTTTTTCGAGACAGGGTTTCTCTGTGGTTTTGGTTCCTGTCCTGGAACTAGCTCTTGTAGACCAGGCTGGTCTCGAACTCACAGAGATCCGCCTGCCTCTGCCTCCCGAGTGCTGGGATTAAAGGTGTGCTCCACCACCGCCCAGCTCAGAAGCTTTTCTTAAGAGGTGCCTGCTGAGTGTGTATGTGCAAGAACACAGTCTACAGCTTCAGTCAACAGTCGTGGTTTAGAAACTATGAGTTATGACAGTATATTACGTAGCTATTTTAAAAATATGAATAATGATAGAAAAATCTAAGCTTGTAAAATACTGTCAGTCATTGATTCTGGGTGGTTGGATATAATTTACGCTGACTTCCCTATTTATTTTTTAAGAGGTCATTTTCAGAGGTCCAAGGAAATAAAAACATGTGGCTTTAGTGTTGTTCTGAGCAACCCCAATATAGGCACAGGAGTTCCAAACCCAAATCAAGAGTTCCATAAAAACCTCCAGTTGCCTTTTCCCTAAGACTGCTCCTCAGGCAGCTGCCTTGGCAGCTCAGCTCAGCATTGGCTGCCTAGAAGGGTGTGGGAGAAACAATGCACAAACGCACTTATGAATGGAATGTGTGTTTTGCAAGAGGCCAAGTTGGCAGCTTTGGTTTCCAAAAAGGTGGGAGCATCAGCTGGAAGAACACAGTGTGCAGAAGTCTGAGGCTTGAAGGCTACGTTCATTTCTTCAGTTCTGCAGTTGGGGCCCAGGGGGAAAGCCTCATCCATGATGAAGGAAATAACCTTGCTGAGTTCAGAAAGTCTTAATAGCTTCTTGCAACACTTTGCAAAGTCCCCTAATGCTTGCCACTTACTGAGCTCAATTCATGCTGGACTTTGGCTAATTTAATCTTCCTAACAACCATGAAGTAGGTACTGATTTCCCCATTTTAAATAGGATCTCAGGAAAATAGTTCACAGTCTACTATTCTTGACATTTTCCACAAGCTAGATCTTTGAAGTCTAATAATTTTAAAAAATAAGTATTTCCTCATTTTATACAGCTGTGGAAATGGATTCAGAATGACCCAAATACTCAGCAGGAGCTGAAGTTGTAACCCAGGCTTTTCCACGTCCACTAGAGGCACTGCCTTTGAGGACAGGAGCCTCAAAAGGTTTCTATCAGTTGAGCTCCACAGCTTTAGAGCTTGGCTGGAAAGGAAGCTCAAGTTGACACAACACACATTTCCTCCTGACAGAGAGACTTCAGGAAGCAGTGTGTTGATTTCAAATCAAACTCTGGTGCTTGGTTCCACTTACAGCCCAATCTTACAGAGGCTTCATTTAAGGACTGAACACTGCCCTAAGTGCCCAACCCCAAATTTTCACTATTATTCTTTCCTAAGGAAACAGGGTTTGTAGCCTTTGGTGACCTGGGACTCACTACATAAATTGACCTCGCTTTCGAATTCAGATCCACCTGCCTCTGCCTCCAGAATGTGTGCACTACCAAGCCTGCCTGGGTTTTTTGTTTTTTAGAATAGAGCCTTACATCAAAGCATTTTGTAAAACTTGATTTGCCAGTTCCACTAATCAGAGAGAAATACTGTTAACATCTTGGCACACAGCATTCCAGGCTTGGTTCCAATCCTATGCATAGCTTTGTACATTCCCCTACGCGGCAGGAATCAAAACTATAATACTCTTCTATAGCCCTATACACACATGTACATGTATGACTATGAACTCAATTCTGAGAGCCAGGTGCAATGGCAAATGGTTTTGATCCCAGAAGGCAGAGACAGATGGAGCTCTGTGAATTTAAGGACAGCAGGTTCTACATAGTGTTCCAGGACATAGTGAGGCCCTGTCTCAAAAAGCAAAATAATACTTATGAGATACTAGCATCTCTGTGCCTAGATTAATAATATTTAACTTACATTGAGCAATCCAATAATTTTAAAAGCTGGGACTAGAAGGGGCACATGTGCACAGCAGACTCATTCTTTTGTAATAACCCTGTGGCATCTACTTTGTGCACTTTTTTGTACAAGCATCTTATCTTCAGTTCTTTGGTGGAATTGTAGGATCTGAGTGTAGAAAGCAAGGTTTTAGCTGTGACTGAAAGATTAGTTCACTTTCTCTGGAGCACTTAGTATCTATCAGATTTGTAATTGTAGATCTGTGTCCCATCTTTCCAACAGTGTTACTAGTCACCTTAAAACTTAGGTGTTTTTTTTCCCCTGAGTTTTGAAGTTTCCAGTTTCTAAGTGGTGCTCTGGTGTGATGGGGACACCTACTGGTGAAGGGTGATTCTGCAGCTGTATCCCCCAAAAGGTATTTCCAAACATGGAAATGGGTTCTAACTACAAAGATAAGTCTTCCATTATCTCTTCTCTTGCCAGATGTTTAGTTCAGCCTTCCCCCACCACCACCACCGCCTTTAACTTTATAGCAGATGCCAAAGAGTCAACAGTTTAGCCAGTTACTTACAGAAATTTGACAGACTGGCTGGATTTTTTCTCTTGGTCTTTGCAGTAAATACCATTTAATGGTAGTGATAGAGCAATCAATCAGTACCTGTATAAATAAAATCAGACACAAAACACTCATTTTCCCCCTCACCATGCCTTAAGAGGAGGAAATGTTTTGAGTTTTAAGCATTTATTGAAATTTTGCACTTTGGCTGGTATCCCAACTTTTTAACAAAGGTGTCTGCTAGATGGAAAGACTTGCCATCGTCTTGAAGGGGCCATAGCCTAGTCACATTCTCTATATGTGAAGGGATACTTGGAAAGTGTGGGGAGATTCACACTCCCAGGCCCGGGGGGTCACTTTCCTCTTCCTCTTTTATTTTCATCAGTCCTAGGCCAGGGTGTAATCCAAAAGTGCTGCAATAAATAAAAAACAAAGACATGTTTTTATCTAAATGGCTGAATGAATGGCTCTATGCTCCTAGGATAGAGTAAGTTTTTAAGCAGGTGTGTACAATACACCAAGAGGAAGGTTTATGAAAAGCTGCCTGCTGGAGTGGGCTCAGTGAAGAAGCCTGATTCAAGTCCTAGCTCTGCTGTTTAAGAGACAGATGACACATTTCCAATAAGCCTCACTTTTTCTTAACCCTAAAACATGCAAGTTACTATGCCACTAAGGCTTAAAGAAGCACAGTAATAACCACCACTCACTGGGCACTTTCTACATACCAAGTGTGGGCAGTTTAAAATACCTGTCCGCTAACCCTTAAAAACAGCTCAGTTTCCAATCCATTTTCCAAGCAAAAAAACAGGCTCAGACATTACTTGTTTAAGTCATACTTGCAAGTAATAGCCAGGTTAAGAGTCCTTAGAAACTGGGGTAGTGTCATCTGAAAAACTTGGTTACTTATTAACAATGCTTGTCATTAGAACAGTGCTTACAGTTGAGGAGTCATTTGATACCTGGTAGTTCACTGCCACCTTGGAAGAATATTCATGGGACTGGATTTAAAGAGCTAAAGGAGCTCTTTAATGCAAGAAAGGCAGAAAATAGCAAAACACAAAGTGTTAACCTGCTGTCTAGCAAGTCTTTTTTTGAATGGCTCTAGAGTCCGATCATTATGGTTCAGTGCAGAGTGGTTGCACTTACTAGTTGTGTGACCTTGGGAAATTGCTTAAACGGAGGCATTGTGCTTGTGCTTCTAAGGACTCTAATAATCCTGACCCAGTCTATGTACTTGCTTGTCACAGAACTTGCTTATTAAGGGTCTGACAGATTCCCATGTGCCAACCCAGTCCAGTGAGTATCCTGGACCCTTGCCTGCCCCTACCACACTAGACTAGATAAAACATCCTGTGCACTGGCCCAGTTTTTGAGTTGCCAGGACTCTTGCCTGTTTGTGCCATCACCAACCTCATTGCCTAGCCATTCTGTGTCCTGGCCAAGTCTGGTAAGTATCCTGAACCCTCTCACCTGCCTGCCATATTCTTAATACTTAGGCCCAGCTTTAGGCAAACAGCTTATACTCTGGCTTAGCCTGGTGAGTGCCCAAGAACCTGGCTTACCCAATTAGCCGAGCTTGCAGAACAGCCATCCATTCGAATCATCCACATTTCTTGCTTACCACTGAACTGGAATCATCATGCATGTTCATCCAATCCAAAATCAACACTGAGAATCTAAAGGATTAGCTACAAATTATTGATACCTGATCTGAAATCAACCAAGCAACAATAAAAATCAAAACAAAACTCCCAATCAACAGAGGCAGCCTAGAATTAGACATATAACCAAGGAAGTCTACATGACAAAGTCATACTGCAAAACAAATGTTGAGAGGCCAAGACATTATGTCCCTTCCAAAACTCACCAGCCCTATAGAAATGTTCCCCAATAAAAACTACCTAGAGGGCTGGAGAGATGGCTCAGTGGTTAGGAGCACTGACTGTTGTCCCAGAGGACCTGGGTTCAGTTCCCAGCACCCACATGACAGCTTGCTGCTGTCTATTACTCAAGTTCCGGTTCCACTCACACCCAGACATACGTGCAGGTAGAATACCAAAGCACATAAAATAAAAATTTTTAAAAATTTAAAAACTACCTAGATGAATCCCAGGACAATTTAAAGAAACAATCATAAACATCATTAATGAATCTAAAAATTTAAAGAAAACAACTCAATGTACTTAGGAGGATAAGAATAAATCCAAGAAAATAAATATGTAACTGAATGAAATGACAAGACAGTTCAAGACCTGAAAACTGAATTCAGTAAAGAGATAGAAATAATGAAATTGCAAAACTCAATAACCCAATTAGAAAACTCAGGAAAGCCTTACCAGTAGAATGGATCAAGAAGACAGATTATTAGGACTTGAAGATAAAGTAGAGGAATTAGGGATGAAGAGAGCTCCAGCAGTTATGAGCACTCCTTGCAGAGGATCCATGTTCAGTTTCGGTTCCCAGTACTCACATCAGGTAGCTTACAACTGCTTATAACCACAGATCCAGGGGATCTGCTGCCCTCCTCCAGCCTCTAATGCACTCAAGCTCTGTGGCATATATATACACATGTGTATATTCATGTATATACACATAAAAATAAAAAGGATTGGACCACATTAGCAAATAATTTGAAAACTTAACAAAACTACATGAAAAATATATAAAAGAAGCTGTAGGACAGCTTGAAGAGACAAAAATCTAGCCATGTGTGGTGTCATATGCCTTTAATCCCAGCAGCCAGGGCTACGTAGAGAGAACCTGTCTCAAACAAACAAACAAGATCAAATTATCACACACAGATGAAGGACAGGAATCCCAATGACACAGACCAGAACTTCAACAAGATCATACAAGAAAACCCCCAAATTAAAGAGACATTACTTATATTTTTGGTTGTGAGCCTAGCCTTTTAACAGCTGAGCCATCTCTCCGGTCCAAAGAGACATTATTTAAACTATCATTCGTAGTACAGCATCTCCAAGAATATCAGAATCTTGAGATATTTTTAATCTTTTGACACAGGACTTTATGTAGCCCACAGTGGCCCTAACTCCTTATGTAGCTGGAGCTGGCCTTGAACTCCTTATTCTTCTGCCTCCACCTCCCAAGTGCTGAGATTACAGGTATGCACTAACATAAAAAACCAGTTTTTATGATATGTTTAAGAAACAATACAGTTTAAGCTGGCAAGACGGCTCTATGGATAAAGGCATTTGCAGTGAGCCTGATGATCTGAGCACATGTATGCATACCACACACAAAAGATAATGAATAAATATAACAAAGAAAAACTTAGGAAGAACAGTTCTAAAATTTTCTAACTACTCCAAAAAGGCCCTTTACACACACTGCAAATACCCCACAAATGACACTATATGTTTTAGGACTAATTTTAACATTAATTTTTCTTTAAATAAAGTATTTATCATACTTTATGTTTTGAAAAAAAATCACTGATTTACTGAAAATCCCTCACAAGAGAATTTTGCTTTGAGACATGTTTTCACAGTGTACCCCAGGACTAGCTCTGAACTCATTATCTTCCTTCAATCTTCCAGATGCTGGGATTATAGGTGTGTACCACCTTACCAGCTTAGACCTGTGATGGGTAAGTTGGCCTGTTATTAAAAATTTATATGGGGAGATGGCTCAGTGGTTAAGAGCACTGACTGCTCTCCCAGAGGACCCGGGTTCAATTCCCAGCAACCACATGGCAGCTCACAACTGTCAGTAATTCTAGTTCCAGGAGACCCAACACTCATGGCAAAGCACCAATGTATGTAAAAAATAAATATTTAAAAAAAATTTATATAATAGGAGCTATAACCAGACCTATACAGCCCGTTTCAGTATTTATTAGGCCTAAGTCTCTGATTTTAAGGTGGGATGAGCTGCATCAGAAGAACCGATAAATTTAAGTAACAAGTAAAATAGGAATATAATGTCTACCTTCTAGAACTGTGATAAGAACTCATGTAAATCCTCATTACATGCCTGGGCATCACTTAACTAAAGGTCTTCCCTTAAAACAGCTGAATTCCAGGGGTCAGAATTCCGAGGACAACGTATCAGGTCCTTACTTGTTGGTTCCTGGCATCAAGATGAGGCAGAGGGTGCCCGGGCTCAGGCAGTGATAGAGCTTTTCAATCTTCCGGTTGCAACGCCAGGCAACTATCCTTGGGTGGTTCTCCTCCGCAATCTAGGACCAAAGTCATGCATCAACATTTAGTCTCCTGTTCACCTTTTGGAGTTAAAGCACTTTCTTGAGTTCTAAAGCCACAGGAAGCTCTGGAAAAAATTCCTGTCTGAAACTGCAGCCCTCTTACAGACCTCAAGTGACTTAGAACTTCTGTGGCAGAGGGCAGCTTCTGTTGGTTCTCTCAAGTGAGTCTTCCAAAAGGGCCCTAAGCGAGGGAGTCATATCACTGATGAGGTTCCCTACATGCCTTTGCCATTAAGGGTATCTGTGACCTTGGATGAGTCACTGACCAGCTCTAATCTCCATCCCTCATCTGCTAAGTCTGAGACTACAGCAGTTTCTAAGCTTTAAGCAGCCTTCGATCTCCACACTTACACATACACATACACCTTCTTTATTCATGCATTTCCACTGCTGCCTTAGTCTTGCCTAATCTCAGGTCAGATGTAAGTTTAATGGAAGTCCTAAGCTACAAAAGTGGAAACAAAAAAGTCTCTACCTATGACAGCCAAAATTTATCTTGTGTATATATCACACTTTGGGAAGCCCTGAACTAATTCACCTAAGACTTATCCAGCTCTCCATCCTCCCACCCTGATCCCTCAAAGTTCCTTGCAGAACCACCCTGAAGAATAAGAATGAGATTTTTAGTGGTTATCAAAGAGGCAAAAGTATTTGATATCTGAGAGAAGAACAAATATGGCCAGGGCTAGAGGAAGCTGGAGGAGTGATATAAGATGGGAGCCAGGGCAGGAAAAACAAACCAACAAAAAGCTTGAAGGATGCAGTGCCAATGAGCAAGTCTTTCCTGATTGCTCCAGAAGCAGAAGGCCAGGGTCCAGAACCAGAGACCCCAGCAGCTACCTTCCCTGCTGACCCCAAGACACACTCATTACCTGGAAGACATGCTTCTCCAAGAGAGGTGGCACTAGCTGAAGTCCTGAAGGCATTGCTGGTTCAGGATGTATGTCCTTGAGCCATGTCTGAAGGTGCATGGGGGTTAGGGCATGTCTGCCTTTCAACTTCCAGTCCTTGCCTTTGAGAATTTCAAGGGCTACCTGGGCACTGTCACGGGATTTGAACTCTGAAAGTAGGAAAAATCCCAACATTTGTTACGAGAGCCAAGAAAACAGATCAACAGATAAACTAAGGCCTGGCTAAGGTGTAGGAATAGAGTAGAATTAGAAGCTTCGCCCTGGTCTACTCCAGGAAAGCTTTTTTGGTGAACCCCTTCTTTGACCTCATGTTGCTGCCATCTCCAATATCCTTCCAGGCTACATTTAATGGTATTACTTACTCAAGAAACAGTAGTTTTTTTGCTGTCTGCTTTTAACATCTTTAGGCAGTATCATGGCTTCCAGGCCAGGAAAGAGGCTGGAGTGCTCCAACAGGTGTTCTTTAAAAGCTTTGCCAAATCCAGTCACATATATAGTACCTTGGTTTTCACAATCTTGCTCTAGCTCATGCACAAGGGTGTCACACTCAAGAGTGAATTCTGTCACAGGCCTGTGCACCTAACCAAGGAAAGATGATGTTAGTGGTACAAAGTCACCATTTTAACTAACCTCTGTCATGTTGTACATCAGCAACTCAATATGCAGCTTCCTAATATTTAGGAGGCCAGTAAGTGCTTCATAGAAATGATTGTAGATTTATTTAAGAAATACATATTTTCATAACAATCTATATTCTCTAGTTCCCTGCTTGCTGCCTCCACTGAAATCTTGTTTACTTGTACAAAAACTACTTTACAATACCACCATCTCACGCGCTTGAAAGCTAAGGAATGGGCAGACTCAGAATAGCACTGAGGGACAAGGATACTTGATAAGGAATACAATAAAACTGTAGTCTAGCCCAGGCTGATTTTTATGAAACTGAAAGTTATTAAGTCTTGATTAAGGACATTTATTACAATCCCTCATGCCTGGGCATCTTCAGGATATTCCTACATATGGACTGTGGTAAATCTTGCCTCGATGAAGGGGGCTACTTTCAGTTTTGGCCATCTTACCTTGATGTAAGAACCTTCTACCAGAATGCCATTCATGGTCTCTATAGCCAGCTGAGCAGCTTCCAAGACTTCATACTGTACACAGAAGTAAGGCTGCAGAAAGACCAAGGTTTTCATCATTGTTACTTCCAACTCAAACTGCTAGAAGGAGGGACTGAGAAAGGGACCCAAACACTACAATGGATGCTTTTTAATGTGCTAGGCCAGATAGCTGACTGTCAGTCAGCTTTAAGTAAAATCACCAAAGTTCAGGAATTGGTTTTCAGTCAGTAACTTCAATTTTTCCATTTACAACCAAAGCCCATTGTGATGGTAATATAAGAAAAACTAAGCAATTCATCGCTACCTAACTTGCTCTTCATATTTGCTACAAAGCACTAAGGTCACTCATGTATGTCACAAGCAGAGACTCCCAGATGTCAACTAGCTTGGTTTTTAGACAACTTTCCAGTTCCCTGGGAAAGCCAAGTTCTTCCACTGGCTAGGCCACATCTTAAGACTCAAAGCAGCCAAATCCCTGAAGTCAGCTGAGCTGCAGAGCAGCATGGAGAAAAGTACTCCTACAGAAAAGTTTTAGAACATTGTTTTGAACAAATTTTTGAAAATGGCACCAAAGACAAATAACAAGGGGGGAAAAAGACAAACTAGGTTTCCTCAAAATTACAAAATTTTTAGACATCAAGACTACCAAATTGTAAAAGGCAGTCCACAAAATAGGAAAAAATCCTACAAGCCACATACCTATTAGGAGACTGAAACTTAAAATTATAGGGTGTTCCAGTTCAGAATGATGAACAGTTATAGAGAAGGACGATCATGATCATGACACTGTATTCTATCAGTAAACTTATTGTGAACTTAAGGGTTAGAAAGGTAAATTCTATATTATATATATTATACAGAAACAAAAATCAACAAAAAAAGCAAGAAGACATAAGTGGTTATAATCTTGCAACAAACTTCCCAATTCTGAGATTATCTATTCTCAGAGATAATCAATATCTAAATTTTTAGCTGTAGGAATGAACTTTGGTAGTCCTTATGTTTTTACTTCATTTTCATAATTATTATTGTACCAGGTTATGAATTGCCCCAGTTCTACATTCTAAAGGTAGAAAACAAAATACTGACATATTCTCCTACTCCTTTCTTCAGCTAATTTAGTCCTCCTTATAGAGGCCTCCATCATACTACTTACTACATAATATCTATAGTTAACCCTTTCTACTTGGAGAAGGAGTCTCACCATGGAGGCCTAACTGACCTGGAACTAGGTCAGGGTGCTCTTGACTGTGCAGTAGCTGTGCTGCCTCTGCCTCCATGTACCACCATACCCAGCTCCTATAGATATTATTATGCTGTTTCTAGTTTTAATTCTTGTCGTATCTCCTTTCATGCTATGCTATTGTTTCACATGAAAACATTAGTCATTTATCTACTTATGATATAATATAATGACTATAAAGATGGATATTTACTTAAGTCCTTTGAATTATATACATTTTAACATGATATGTAAGTATTTAAATAACTAAAAATATTTTTCTTTTGTTGAAATAGTTTCAAAATCATTAAGATCATTTATATAAATAAAAATCCAATACACGAAATTTACTTCAAGAGACTAGAGAATTAAAAAAGAAAAGTAGACAGGCAGAACTCTTACATTGTGCTATGCCCCTTACAAAAACAGAAAATCAAAGCTGAGTATAGTACATGGTGGCATACACCTGTAATCCTGTCTACTCAGAAGATGAGTCAGGAGGATTGCATATCTTACAGCAATACAGGATACACAATAAGATCCTCTCTAATACTAAAACAAAAAGGGTTAGGAATGTAGCTCAATGGTAAAGTCTTTTTCTAACATGCCTAAGACTCTAGGTTTAATCCCTAGTTACACCTTTTTTTCCTTCTGGTTTTTCGAGACAGGGTTTCTCTGTAGCTTTGAAGCCTGCCCTGGAACTAGCTCTTGTAGACTGGAATGGCCTCAAACTCATAGAGATCCACCTGCCTCTGCCTCCCGAGTGCTGGGATTAAAGGTGTGTGCCACCACCATCCAGCTCACTCTTAAAACCCTTTATAAATCAATTATCCTTTAGTGTATGCTAGCTATTGGCTGACTGTGTAGTTAAAGCCTATACAACTTCCTAAGACAGGGAAGTTACAGTTCTTTTGTAATTTTTAACTTATGTTTATTTATTTAGTTTGTGTGTGTGTGTGTTTGTACGCATATGTGTCATGGCTGGCATGTAGAAATCAGTGGATACTTTGTGGAAACTGCTTCTTTTCTCTACCATTGTGAGTCCCAGAAATTAATTCATGTCATCAAATTGGCAGCAAGTGCCTTTATCTGCTGAACCATCTTACTAGGTGGCTTCCCTATTTTGTTTAAAAAAATAGAGTTATCATCATTTTTATATTTTTTAAATTATTTTGAAAATTTATTCTTTCTAGTTATGCATATGTGTGTATGTCTCTGTGTGTGGTTATGTCCATATGCCCAGAGGCAGGGATGTCTGATTCCCCTGGGGCTGGTTGTGCGCTGCCTGATGTGGGTGCTGGGAGTTGAACTTAGGTCCTCTAGAAAAGTGCATACTCTTAACCATGGAGCCATCCCTCCACATACACACCCCCAACTATTCTTTTTTAAAGAATATTTTTATCATTCAAAGGTGAGGTCAGCACAAAAGGTTACATTCAACTAGCAGGGATTTTGTTGTTTTTGGTTTTTTGAGACAGGCTGTTCTGAAACTATGAAGACCACACTGGCCTTAAACTCACAGAGATCCTCCTGCCTCTGCTTCCTGGAGTTCTGAGATTAAAAACGTTGTGTTACTACCCTGTCTTTAGCATATTTTTGTCTAACCTACATGGTATATTTCTCTTTAAGCAAGACAAAATAAAAATTGTTAAGTACACAAGAACATAAGATCCAGAAATAATGATTATATATGGGCCAGCTACTGTCCTCATCAGACAGAGCTGGAGCAAATCAAGCTCATTTTACTAATTTGTTATTGGTTAGCCACACAGCCCTCACCCCATCTGATTTTTCTAAGAAAGTCAAAACCTGATATTCTCAGCTTACCCTAAATGTTTCGAGAACAAGAGTTACTGACTGGACTGGACCCATGCTCTTAAACATCTTCTTCAGAGGCCCAATGTTACAATTTTTGACAAATGGACCAGCATAGACAGTTGACATCTCTGTCCATTTGGTCTTCATCTATAGGAAAAACAACAGAATGAAGCGGTGGATGTGAAAATGAACTGAAACCATAAGTCAAAGCTTGGCTTACCTTTGCAGGTGTCTGAAGTCCAGACTTGTTATAGGGCTGGGAAGATGGCTCGGTGGGTAAAAGTACTTGTTGCTATTGCAGAAGAGCATTTGATCCCCACCATCCACATGGTCGTTCACAACCATCTGTAACTCCAAGTTTCAGGGAACCTTATGCCCCATTCTGACCTCCAAGACCATCAAGCATGCATGTGGTACACACACACATAAATGCAGACAAAATATTCACACACAAAAAAATAAAATGAATAAATCCTTTAAAAAATTATCATTGAGGTAAGGTGCATGCCTTTAATCCCAGACCTCTGGGAGGCAGAGGCAGAGGGATCTCTGTGAGTTTGAGTCCAGCCTGGTCTCCAGAGAATTCGAGGACAGCTAGGGCTACATAAAAACCCTATCTCAAAAAATAAAAAACAAAATAAAACGAAGAGTCTGTATTCAAGGATGTCCATTATTTATAGAAGGAAAAAATTGAAAACACAAGTGCTCTCAATAATAGGTTTACCACTCAGTGGAATACTTGCATATCTTGAAAATAAGAACAATAAATTATGTCTGACACAGAAGATACATTTAAAATTAAAATAAAGTTGCAACAAGGGGCCGGGGCAACGGCTTGATGGATAAAGTGCTTGCTTGAGGACCCGAGTTCAGACCCCAGCACCCACAGGAAAACATGAATGCAAGTGGCACATGCTTCTAACCTCAGTGCTAGCAGTAAAGACAGGGTGGCTAAATCAGTGAGCTCTAGACTCAGTGACATACTGTGCCTCAAATAAATAAATAAATAAATGTGATAAAAGAAGATATTTAGGGCTGGAGAGATGGCTCAGTGGTTAAGAGCATTGCCTGCTCTTCCAAAGGTCCTGAGTTCAATTCCTGGCAACCACATGGTGGCTCACAACCATCTGTAATGAGGTCTGGTGCCCTCTTCTGGTCTGCAGACAGAATATTGTATACATAATAAGTAAATAATTTTTTTAAAAAAAAAGAAGATATTTATTGATGGCGTCTGACCTTGTTCTGCCTCTGCATGCATGGGCATACACACTCACCCACCCACATACCTGTACACATATACATACACTAAAAAAACACACACACAAAACAAAACAAAGTTGTAAAACAGGATACTCAGTCTGATTCCTATTTTTATAAAACATATTTCTCAAATATTAATGTATATTGAAATAATCTGGAGAAATAGATGTGAATTTAAGCAAGTGTGCATTACTTTCCTTAATGAAGAAAGGTTGTCGTTATCAAACAGTTCAGCAGAATCCATCTACTTACACTTTGCTTCACCTCGTCAGCAAAGATGGGTGAAAAGGGCTCAAAAGAGAACTGCACAATGCTGAAGGGAAACAAAGGGACTTCCACTTTGGCTTCCTCAAGCACCTGAAGAGAACAGACTGAATGAGTTAGGAACCCAGTACTCATTCAACTCCCTCCACAAGCCACAGTAATATAAACAGTTGCCTTTTACTTATACCCCAAAGAGGCACACAGCTGACTTCCAGGTCCAAAGGAGAATGGTAACAGCACACAGTCTCCTAGAAAAGCCACTAAATTACTGCTTCTTGGCCTTTTGGCTAAGACTCAGCATAGTACCCGTCCTTTCCAGTTTAATAGAGTATGTCCTCTGTCCAAGAATAACATATGCAATGAGTTTCTGAAGCAGGGAGGTGGAAAGGGAGCTTGTTACATCCATGTCACACATCAACCTGGAACTGGAGAACCTCAGGAACAATGCACCCTTCTAGGGATATAAGATTTGGTTTCTTTCAAAAGAAAACTTTTTTGACAGTGTCATAAATAGTTTATCAATGCTTAGAAAAGAATTACACAACAGAAGCAGTTTATTCAAGGATATCAGGCTGGTCCATATTCGAAAGTCAACATGTACTGTCATATCAACTAGCATGACTGTACTCACTTATGCAGACAAAGCTTATGGAAAATTTCAATATCAAAACTCAGAAAATCCAAGACAGAGGGAACTTCCCCAACCCAATGAATTAAAAATCTAACAACTAAGCCAGGTGGAGCTGGCTCATGTCTTTAATCCTGGCAATTCAAGATTAAATCAGAGACAGGGATCTCTTGTGAGTTTGAGGACAATCTGGCCTACATAGCAAGTTCCAGGACAGCCAGGGCTACACAGTGAAAAGGACTTGGTTTCTTTCTAAAGGCAACTTGCAACAGGGCCTGGAGGCACAGGCTTATGATCTCAACCACATAGAGGCTGAGGATAGCAAATTTAAGACCAGGCTATGGACTAAGTTCAAATCAGGCTGGACAACTTAGTGAGACCCTGTATCAAAATAAAAAGGGCTTGGGATATAGCATAGTGTAACAGGTCTTACCATATACAAGAGTTTGGGTTTAACCCTCTAGTATCACATAAAAGCCATAAAGGTAATGTATAACATATGTGACCCATACTTTAAATATTACTAAGAGAGTGATTACCACAAACCTTCAAGATACTTGTAAGAAAATAAATTCCAACAGAGGCCCTCATCATTACACATTGTTGCAAATCAGTAAATAAAGAAAACAAAGGAGGCTTAAGAGAGTCATTGGCGATGGGGGTAGTAGGTAGTGAGGAGGAGAATCAATGTGCCTGAAAGAATTAGAGGAAGTAGAAAACAGAAGCACCCCTAGAAAGAAGTCCAACTAAATGCAAATGTCACAACTTTGATATGGCTAAAAGCCTGGCAGCCAGAAAGCAGCATGAAATATATAGAAAAAAAGATGGTACCCTTGTTAGATGTGGCAAAAAGAAAATAAAAAGGTAAATTACAGATCTTGCCGAGAGAGATGGCAAATGCCAACCTTTCCTAACAAGATTATAAGTTCCTCTCCTCTCCCTGACACCATAAATTAGTCTCAAACAAACAAACAACCCCCTAAGCTCCAAGTATTGGAAAGATGAGAATGATGGGTATATGCCTCTAACTCCCAGTTCTTGGGAGGTAAGACATTCTAGTGAATGGCAATGGCACTGCAATACTTTGTGTTCCCATCTCTTTCTCCCTCTGAATCAACATAGACTTCATGGGAGGATAACTTCCCATTCCAGAGATTCTCTCTTGGAATGCAAACCTATGTACCCAATATTCTGGAAAATCTGGGTGCTGCCTGAGAAACTGGCTTCTTCTCATCTGATTTGAAGAGCTGACAGGAGTACAGGACTTGCTGAGAAATCATTACAAACTGACTACTATGGCATGTTAGAGGTGCAGTTCCAAAGGAAGATGCCATGAGGTAGAAAAGACTCTGTGCTGTAAAAAATAGACAGCAACAAACTGCCAAGAAAATTTGAGACAGTTAAAAACGCAAAATTGCAGATAACACAAATCTTGGATGCTGCATAAAACAGTTCATAAAATCAGAACTGGTTATTTTTCTCTCTCTCTTTATGTATGTATAGTGTATACATGCTTTCATGTTACGGTACATATGTGTGCAGGTGCATGTACGCATGTGTGCATATTGGTGTGGATGCATGAGGTTGATATTAGGGTGTCATCCTCAGTCACTTTGATGCAAGGTATTTCACTGAACCTGGGCTCTCAGTTTCAGTAACTCTGGCAACCCAGCATGATCCAGGCATCTTTATATCTGCCTCTCTCTCCCCATCCCCTACTAGGTCCACCTGGCTTTTAGAGGGTGTTCCTGTCATCTTTAGTCTTCAATTTGACATAACCCAAGGTCATGAGAGGAAAGCCTCCTCTATGGACATGTCTGAGGAACTGTCTTGTTAATTTATGGAGGAGAGCCCCGCACACTTGGATGACACCATTTCTTGGGCTGGTCCTAGGATATATAAGAAGGCTAAACATCAGTTGGAGAACACCAGCAAGAAGCATTCCTCCAGGGTTTCTACTTCAAGTGCCTGCTTTGACTTCCCTCAATGATATAACCTGTAATCTATTCCTTCCCTAGGTTACGTTTGGGCAGTGTTTTATCATAACAACAGAACAAAACTATAATATAAGGTTCTTAGAGTCTGAATGCTGGCACTTATATTTGTAGGCCAAGTGCTCTATCTGTTGAGTCAGCTCCTCAGACCAGAACTGTTTATTTCTTTTAAATGTCTAAGTCTTAGTAACAAAATCACAAAGCATACAAAGATACAGGGAAACTTAGCCTAAAAAGACAATATAATTCCATAAACTGAATCTAGAAAAGTGTAGCTGTATGAAGACCTGTGAATGCCTGTCTTCTGAATATTGAGATTACACCACTATGGTAGGCTCCAGATCTCTAACAACAAGTGGCGAACTGTTTGCACTCTAGATCTGTATACACTCTCTTGTATACTGAGTCACTATCTCTAGATTACTTATATCATTGAAAAGAATATCATGCTATGTAAATAGCTTTTCTACTGCACTGCTAATGAACATTAAAAAAGAAAAAAGTCTGCATGTGTTCAGCTATTCTTTTCCTTATTATTTCCGACTCATGGTTGGTTGACTCCATGGATATGAAAACTGCAGACTCATAAGGCTAATTAAATATCTAAAAATGCTTAAGGGGATAAAAGAATTGTCATAAAGATGCTTGAACATGGATTACTAAATCAAGAAAATGATATATTAGCAAATGAGAATACTAACAAAGAAATGATAAAAAAACAATATTCTGGATTGGAAAATTTTAAAAAATAGCACTGCAAAATCACACAGGAATGATTTAATCAGGCAGATGAAAGCATCAGGTCATGTACAATGATGGAGTTCGAGGTCAAAAGATAATAAAGAACAGTTGAGGTGAAGTTAAGGGATTTATGTGACATTATCAAGAAACTTATGAGACACTATTAAACAAATGCAACTGTCTAAATGTAGTATCTAAATGCTTATGTCCATCCAAAAGCTGCACATAGACATTTAGAGCAGCTTTGTAAGTGTTAAAACTTATAAATAATCAAGCTATATCTATCAGTGGGTGAATTACTCAGACACTAAAAACAGAAAACATTAAAAGCATCAAAAAGACATGGAAGAAATATACACATTTCTAAATAAAATAAAGCAATCTAAAAGGTTTCTTAATATATGATTACAACTATGTGATACTCTGGAAAAAGCAAAACTATTGAGCCAATGTAAAGATCAGTGGTTTCTAGGGAGAGAGGGAGAATGAATTAGAAAGCACACTTATCCTAAGATATTTAGGGTAGTGAAACTATATATAGGGGGACATATATGTCAACAAGCATTGTCAAAATGTATAGGATATACAACACCAAAAGTGAGCCCTAATGTAAAAGATGGACTTTTGGGTGACTAGGATGTGTCAGTGTAGATACACTGATGACAACAAAATCTAGTGGCAGAGGTTGCACATGTTGAGTGAGGTAGAAGATAAATGGAAAATACACTTTCCATGCAATTTTGCCATGGACTAAAATTTCCCTAAAAATCAAAGTCCATTAAAAAAATAATGAGGTAAAACCAACCACACTGAACCTCATAGAAGAGAAAGTGGGAATTACACTTGAACACATTGGCACAGGAGACCACTTCCTAAATATAACCCCAGTAGCACAGACACTGAGAGAAACAATTAATAAATGGGGCCTCCTGAAACTGAAAAGCTTCTGAAAAGCAAGGGACATGGTCAACAAGACAAAACGGCAGGCTACAGAATGGGAAAAGATCTTCACCAACCCCACATTGGACAGAGGTCTGAACTCCAAAATATACAAAGAACTCAAGAAGTTGGTCATCAAAAGAACAAATAAACCAATTAAAAAAAATGGGGTATAGACCTAAACAGAGAACTCTCAACAGAGGAATCTAAAATGGCTGAAAGACACTTAAGGAAATGTTCAACATCCTTAGTCATCAGAGAAATACAAATCAAAACAACTCTGAGATTCCATTTTACACCTGTAAGAATGACCAAGATCAAAAGCACTGATGACAACTTATGCTGCAGAGGTTGTGGGGTAAAGGGAACACTTCTGCATTGCTGGTGGGAGTACAAGCTGGTACAGCCCCTTTGGATATCAGTATGGTGATTTCTCAGAAAATTAGAAACAACCTACTTCAAGACCCAGCAATATCACTTTTGGGTATATACCTACAGGATGCTTAATCATACTCCAAGGACATGTGCTCAACTATGTTCATAGCAGCTTTGTTTGTCATAGTCAGAACCTGAAAACAACCTAAATGCCCCTCGACCGAAGAATGGATAAGGAAAATATGGTACATTTATACAATGGAGTACTTACTAAACAGCAGGAAAAAAAAAATAACATCTTGAGGGCTGGAGAGATGGCTCAGAGGTTAAGAGCATTGCCTACTCTTCCAAAGACCCTGAGTTCAATTCCCAGCAACCACATGGTGGCTCACAACCATCTGTAATGGGGTCTGGTGCCCTCTGCCCTGCAGGCATACACGCAGACAGAATATTGTATACATAATAAATAAATAAATATTAAAAAAATAACATCTTGAAATTTGCAGACAAATGGATGGATATAGAAAACATCGTATTAAGACCAAATCCAGAAAGACAAATATCATATGTACTCACTCATAAATGGTTTTTAGACATAAAGCAAAGAAAACCAGGTTACAATTCACAATCCCAGAGAACCCAGACAACAAAGAGGACCCTAAGAGAGACATACATAGATCTAATGTACATGGGAAGTAGAAAAAGACAAGATCTCTTGAGTAAACTGGGAGCATCGGGACCATGGAAGAAGGTAGGAGGGGGGAGGAGAGAAAGGGAGGAGAACAGGAAAAAAAACAAACATGTAGCTCAATAAAAACAATTTTTTTTAAAAAGTCATGTGACTCCCTGGGGTGGGGGAATAATGAGGGCTCAGTTGGTAAATCACTTTCCTAGCAAGTATAAAAACCCAAGTTCAATACCAAGAATCCACATAAAATACTAGTGGCAATGGCTTATGCTTGAAAAGAATCTCAGTGACGGTGAGATTGGAGGCAAAGACAGGCAGAAACTTGGAAGCTCTCCAGCCAACTAGTCTAGTCTTCTTGGCAAAGTTCTTATGGACTCTGAAATGAAAGAGACTGTCATACAAAAAGTAGTAAGCACCTAAGGGGTGACACCCGAAGTTGTTTTCTAACCTCACACGCATGTACACACGCATGCATGCACATACCTGCAACCATGTACACGCACATATAGATGATGCTCACAAAACCCTTAAGGTCTACGTCAGGTGGGGGGGTGATCAGAAAAAACGTGGGGGGGGGGTAATTCTCAGGAAATTAGAAAAGGAAGGATAATAATCTCATGAACACATGAACACTATAATCTCTCCAGCTTGCCACCTAGAGAACATTTCCAGGCTACAGAGAAATAGGGAAATCTGCTGGCTTGAATATCACTGAGTAAAGAGCTACACATAGAACACCAGAGACCTGCAAAAAAATTTAACCCTCAAATATTCATAATTGTATCTATGTAAGTAAACTATGTAAGGCCCAGAAGGAAAAAAAATCCAAAAGGATTACAAGGGACATTTCCAAAATCTTACACAGGATTATCCAAACCAGAGCACAAGATCTCATGACCCTTGTAGCATTAAGCACAAAGTTTTCTTTTACAACAGTAGTGGGATAAAAACTGTCATGGTTCTACTTAAAAATGTTAAATGCAAGAGCCAAAAGGAACAGTGTTTCTATAAAACTACCACCTTCCAAACAAAGCTCACAAATATTTACAAGGACATAAAACTACATGATACCAATAAAGTAAAATTTACTGTCTCAGACATGCAAAGAAGCATGAAAACATAATTCACAAGGATACAGATCACTGAAAACTAATCTGAAAGTTACATAGATGATCAAATATGTAAGGATGTTAAAATAGTTCTTGTAACTATATTCCAGAAGAAAGAATTGAGAGAAAAGTCTGAGTCTTTTATTAGAGGCATGGGAGATACAAGAGAGCAAATTTAATTTTTAAGATTAAAGTTACAGTGTCTGAAATAGAAGTATACTGGATGTGATTATTATCACATTAAATACAACAAAAGTTATGATGGAGCCTGAAGACATTAGCAATGAAAAACAGCTAAAGGGGGAAGAAAGAAACTGCTAGAAAATTAACAACAGTGATCTATGGAACCCTCAGAATCCTAATGGCAGTTACAAAAGTAATGAAAGATAAAACTGGAAGTAGTAGTACTTTTTACCTAATTTTATAAAAATGATAATCTAAGTGTGGGTTGTATTTTTGCTTGTTTTGTTTTTTTCAACCTAGTACAAGCTGGAATCATCTAGAAAGAGGTGATGGGTGTTGGAGAACCTAGGCCCTGTGAGCAGTGCCATTCTTGGGCAGTAGTCAAGTTGAGGAAGCCATGAGGAGCAAACCAGTAAGCAGTGCTCCTACATGGCCTCTGCTTTAGTTCCTGCCTCCAGGTTCCCTGATTTACCATAGCGATGGACTGTGACACAGAAGTATAAGATCAAATAAATCCTTTGCTCCCTAAGTTGTTTTGGGTCATGGTATTTATCACAGCAACAGAAAGAAAACTAGGGCACTAAGGTAGAAAATCTCATGGAATCTAAAAGATGTATAACAAGACCTTTAAAATACCAGAGTTGAAAATAAATGTCAACCAAAATATCTTCCAAATTTGAAAGCTAAAAAAAAATTACTAAGTAAACAAAAGATGCTAAGAATTTAGTATCTACAGACTCTTTACTGCTCAGATTAAAATTGGGATTTATATAAAGGAATAAATACCACTAGATGTGATAATCATGTGGTAAATATACCTATCATGTCTTCTTACTAAAATGTAGTTTTTTTATTTTTTATTTGAATGAATGCTTACCTACATGTATGTATGTGTACCATATTATTTCTAGTGCTGGTGGAGGCCAGAAGAGGGTGTCAGATCCTCTGGAACTAGAGTTATAGGTGCTGTGAACGCCATGTGGATGCTTGGAACTGAAACAAGGTCCTCTGTAAAAGCAGCAAGTCTACTTATACATGGAACCATTGTTCCACTCCCTAAAATCTCTTCAAATAATCTATAGCCAAAGCAAAATTAGTAACAATATAGACTAGATTCTATAATGTATATAGAAGTAAGATGTGATGACAACAATAGCGCTGTGGTTGGGAGGAATGAAATGTAAGTATATGGTTGTAAGGTTCTTACACATGAAAAGGTATACTATTATAGAAAGTAAATTGTAGTAAGTAACTACTATGATATGTATATTATAAATCCTAACACTACTAAAATATGCAGCTTAGAATTAACTTTTTCCAGGTTCATCACTATTATGGTTCCTAGATTTTACAGCTGGTAAGATATCTCTATTGGTGTAATAGTGGCATTTTTATTCTGAGGGTAATCAACAGATGTCTAAACTGGACTTAGGGCCCATTCAAGTAGGAGAGAATTCACCTCTGGGGCCACAAACCTAGCCACTTGCCCATGGCTAGTGAGGTCATGAATCCTAGAAGAGGACCTATTACTGCCACTTTCCTAAACTAGTATACTTTCTAACTGCAGACTAAACACTTACCCTCCTAACCCCAGGTTAGTGCAGCTGCTTCCAAAGCAGGTGAAGGCTATTACACAAATCCACAACCAGTCAGAATGCAGAGAAAAATTGACTGTGGAGTCCCGGCCCCAGTTCATACATCTCCATCTCAACCCTTATACCCAAGGTTCAGGAGAGGAAACAGAAAACCTGTAAGAACAAAACACCGGGATGCCTGTTGTAAGACAGCATCTTCTAAGCATGATCGAAAAGCTCTAACTATGAACTCTCAACAATACACTTGCCTAAACAGTATCTGCATATGGACAACACCAGCTGACATGCTAGCCTGGATGGGGGAAATCTGGGAGAAGCAGAATCAGTCTTCTCTAGAGATAAGTTCCCTGAAAGGTTATCCAATTCCAACTGGTCAAGCCCTAAGCACATGAACAACACTAAATAGAAGGGAGATACACACACACACGCACACACGCGAGCGCACGCACACACACTTAAATTTGTGTATATATAAAATGATAATGTTAAATAAGAGGCTATTAATTTGATGTGGCAGTTGGAGGAGATAGAAGAAAGGATGGAAATGTAGTATTCACACATGAAATTCTCTTAAAGAATTTTAAATTAACAAAGAGCAATTGTAGGGCAAAATGGTGACTTAGTTGTTACCCTGTTCCTCCAGAAGCCCTAGGTTCAATTCCCAGCTCTCATATGGGAACTCACAATTGCCTGTAACTCTAGTATCTCAGGATCTGATACCTTTTTCTGGGCTCCATAGGCACTAGGCATAGGCTTACAGGCAAAATACCCATACATATACCAAGAAAAAAGTAATATACCTAATAAATTGTCAAATAAGAGAACATTTCCAGGGCTCAGAAAAGTAAACGGCTTGCTGAGCAAGCACAAAGACCTGAGTTTGGCTACACATAAATAAAAAGTCAGAAATGGCAGCATACTTATAATTCCAATGCTGAATGGGTAGGGAAGACAAATAAATACTGGAGCTCATATTGTCACAGAACAATGACAGATAAAATATAAAAAGATATAGCCAGGCTCCAAAATAAACATCTCCATATACCAGAAATAGAAGTTCTAAGTGGCGTGCAAGGCCAAGCCCACTGGTCTCTGAAAGCAGACGCTGACAGCTAACAGCTCTGCTCCTATGAAGTAACAGACTTAAATGTGCTCCATAAGATTGAGGCAGAAGCCAGACTTGCTCATGTTAGCCAAGGTTACTGGTACAAATTCTTGGCATTCCCAGGGGTTATACAAAGTGTTACACTTACTACAAAGATATAATAGGTCATTCACCTCTTTATTTGAAGAACACTTAATAGTTAGACAGTTTCTAGAAGAAGAAAGCTCATCTATATCCCGAGTCAAAAAAAGGAGTTTCTGACCCATCGAGTCCAGGCATTCTAAAACACTGTAAAGAATTAAAGAGATTAAAATAAGAATAGTCATTTTTAGGTTAATACTTGCTAGTTAAATTTTGTGCCTATAATGCTTGCCAATATAGTAGTCTGTAGCAATATTTAGTTATACAAATTTAATTAAAATTAAAGGCCCAGTCAATAAACTGCATTAGTCATATGTGATCAGTGGTTTTCATATTCTCCAGAATATTTCATCATTGCAGAAAATCAAATTAGATGGTGTTACCCTAAGAGGAGGGAAAATAAATAAGAACTATACCTAAAGCTATCAATCAAGATTGAAGTCACAATCTAAGGATCTGACACACTCATCATGGTCTGAAACCGTTTCTGAGTGTGGATGTATGTGTTTCTCCAATCTGCTTTAAAGGCTATAAGCTAAGTTTTCTAACTTAAAAATATCAACAAGACTAGAATTCTCTTCTTTCCTTACCACCCCAAGATAGGGTCTCTCAGCAGAGCCCTGGCTGTCCCAGAACTCTCTTTGTAGACCAGACTGATCTCGAACTCACAGAGAACCATCTGTCTTTGCCTCCTGAGTTCTGGGATTAAAAGCTCTATCTTCTCTTGTAATAATCCTTAGTTCAATTATTTCTGCGTGGTTTTTTTTAAACATCATTTTAGACATTGGTCATAGTCAGAAAACTAGTAAGTACATCCTTAATTTTCCTTTGCTCTTATTTGAAATGGAAAACATTACCTCATATTTGGGGGCTTAGTAGGTCCTCCCTTCTTTTCTGGTTCTTGACTGGCTGCTTTCAGTTCTTCACGACTAGCTAGTGCCTCCAAATTGAGCTCTGCAATCTGTAAGAAAATAAAAGTTTTTGTACAGAATTTGAGGCGAAAAAAATCACTTAAATGATATTCTCTGCTTCTCTAGAATCATGGCTGTGTCACTGCCTCAGGCAAAAGCTGGCTTCAATAGTATCAAATGGTTTTATGACTGCTTAGCCAAGAGCAACAACCTGTCACCAGCTACTAATGTTACATGAAGATGGTTTAAAAGAGCCAAGTGAGGCTGAGTGAAACGTGATGGCAATTTTGGCTCATCATTCCTTACTTAGTCTCTTAATGTATTTCTCTGAAAACATGTAACTTTTAGAAATGAAAAACAATGACTTTTATTGCAATATCAAAAAAGTCAGTATATTAATACAAAATAATACAAAATTAGACTATCAAAAGTATAATTGATATTTATTTTTGTTCATAAAGTAGGAATCCACCTGGAAAGTAAGATAATACAACTATTTAAAAATAACATATTTTTCTATTTCCATCCATTTGCATGCAAAATTTGAGAAGTCATTGTTTTTTACCGCAGCATAGTACTCTAGACAGTGGAGCTGATCTATTGGGAGCTCACCAAGGCCAGCTGGACTGTGACTGAAAAAGCATGGGATAAAACTGGACTCTCTGAGCATGGCGAACAATGAGGGCTGATGAGAACCCAAGGACAATGGCACGGGGTTTTGAACCTACGTAATGTGCTGGCTTTGTGGGAGCCTAGCCAGTTTGGATGTTCACCTTCCTAGAAATGGACGGAGGGGGGAGGACCTAGGACTTACCACAGGGCAGGGAACCCTGACTGCTCTTTGGGCTGGAGAGGGAGGGGGAGAGGAGTGGGGGGAGGGGGAGAAGGGTGGGAGGAGGAGGAGATGGATGGGAGGAGGGGGAGAAGGGTGGGAGGAGGGGGAGGGAAATGGGAGGCTGGGAGGAGGAGGAAATTTGTTTTTTTTTCTCCTTTTCTCAATAAAAAAATAAAATAAAAAAATAAAAATAACATATTTTTGCCAGGTCAGGTAGTGATGCAGGCCTTTAATCCCAACACTCAGGTGGCAGAGGCAGTCGGATCTCTGTGAGCTTGAGACCAGCCTGGTCTACAGAGCAAGTTCCAGGACAGGCTCCAAAGCTACACAGAGAAACCCTGATTTGAAAAACAACAACAACAAAAATGGAATTCAACGGGTGGTTCAGTTCCTAGCACCCACATGGTAGTTCACAACCATCTGTAACTCCACTTTCAGGGAATCCCATTCCTCTCTTCTGGCCTACATCAGCACCAGACATGCACATGGTTACACAGACATTTACACAGGCAAAAACATAAAATACATAAATCTAAATGACAAAACAAAACATTTTTTGTTTGTCCCACCATTCTCAGAGGAGCCACTGCTGAGCTCCTCTATGAGAACATATGTGAACATATTTTAACAATATGAGAACATATTTTAACAATCTGTTAAAAAATCATAACCATTCTTAAAGAGCGAAGGAGGTACAATTCAGTCAGGTGCCCAAAGAGGAACTGGCACACTGAGAGGCAGAGACAGGTTTTGTTTGTTTGTTTGTTTGTTTGTTGTTTTTTTTTTTTTGAGACAGAATTTCTCTGTAGCTTTGGAGCCTGTAGGTCAGGCTGGCCTTGAACTCACAGAGATCTGCCTGCCTTGGCAGAGGCAGTTTTATCATAACCAGTTAGCAGGTCATGATTGATGGCTCCAGGAAGAATTTATCCTGATGTCAATTGTAGAAACAAGTGAAGAGAATACTGGGCAGCAGGGAAGAGATGGCAAAGGCTGAACCTAGTTTTCATAAACCCATCAGCATAGGTCAGTGCCTCAGCAACCCCCAGATAGCTCTAGAGGGGTGAGGGGTCTAAAACTCAAGACCTCTACAACACTCATCATTCCCCACCTCTGCTATTATCCCACAGATCAGGGGACCCATCAAGACCTTAGGAAGAGCACAGGGCATAACTTGGAACAAGGTGCAGCATCTGGATCAGAGCAACAGAGCCAAGGCTGCAGACTGGAGAAAGCACAGTGGTGCAGTGAGTCTGAAGCTCAGTATCCTCCACCCTGGACAAAGTAGTAAGGAACTATATCCATCAGGGGAAATTTGTGACAGCACTTCATACAGTGTCCTCACAGACAGCTAAGACTCCAAGCAGCCCACTGGACAGTGGAAGGATTATATAGGGGTGGAATCAATCGTAAGTCACAAGCCCAACGTTGAAGGAACACACAGAGGTATTCCTAGCATTTGCAATTCCACTTGTGAAGTACTGCCTGCAGACAGAACCAGTCCTGTAATCCAAACACCTAAAGAAAGACTCAGAGGAGAATAGGACCTCCTATCACAGAGGAACTAGCACAGGTGGCATGGGTTTCTGAGAGCCAAGAAATGTGACTCAAAATTGAACCCCAGCCATCAGAGTTCACATATTCTATATCCCCATCTGACTCTCTCCCCGCATGTTCATCTCACCCTTATTTAATACTCAGTATCAATTTGGCATGACAGCCGAGACCTGCTTAGTTTTCTCTTCTACTGCTTATTTTCCCCCTTCTTTACTCTTTCCCTTTTCATTTTCCTCTCCTAAGGAGCTGAGCTGGTCTGCAGGGTCTGTCTGGTGCAGCCTCCAAAGAGACAGGGTTTTACTATTATCTGATTACTTATCTTACCTTTCTCTTTTCAGTTTACCTTCAACCAAAACTCTGTCCCCACATTTTTGTCCCTACAGGTCCTTTTATCCTAGCACTTGGAAGGAAGAGGTAGTACAATCACCATAAATTTGAAGCCAGTCTGGGCCATATCTACATAGTAAATTACAGGCAAGACAGTGCCTCAAGACAACCACCAACAAAATAATTTCACAAAATCTTTCTGAAACTGTCCTTTTCAAATCTATATCCACTGAACTGCTGCTCAAACAATGGAATGTGCACCTATTCCTAGAGAACAAACTAATTACCATAAACAGTATCAGTTCAATGATCATCATCACCAGCTTTATATTTAGTTATCTGCCCTCAATACTATCCCAGCAAACTACATATTTCCATCTTACAGATTTAGAAACAAGTTATTCAGAGCAACTGCCAGTTGATATAACTAGAAACTCTATAGTCAACACTCAAAAGTTGACTTTATTATATACTTTGTCAATATGTTAGTGATATGGGTCTTAATTTTAATCTTAACCACATTGTTAGCTTTGTACAGAAAGGTAGGAACAGAAATAATGATCTATGGATGTCTGATCCAGTCTCATAATATTAAGAAAGCCAAAGGGACTGGTCAAAGATACTAACCTTCTTTGGCCCATACTTAAGAAAATACCGAACTAATTCAAGAGTTGTTCTAGCATCTTCTATGGTATCATGACCAAGCTTGTCTGGACACTGTATATCCTTCCTAGAAATGAAGATGAAATGTGTATATGGGGATATTTTTAATGATTATTTCTTTTAACCACAGTATAGAAGTTTCACCATTGTTAACAATCAGATTTGTACTACAACTATCAAGATCCCTTTTTCTGCTCAACTGCCAGGCCTCAAGAGAGGTGCTACACATCCAGACAACATGGGATGGCTCTGATCACAGAAGTATACCACAGGAATCAAAGATTAGCCAAGATCAGGCCCACTCTTAGCTGTATCAGTTAAAAGTTTCCTTCCAGAAGATTTTTATTCATATGCAAATATCTATACATTTAAATAATTTTCTTGGTTGTTTATGAAAAATCTTAAATACACATATATTTATGTTGATCAATATCTATATATAGATCCTACTCAGCAACTCTATTTTATTCTAAGTAATATCTTAGGGTTTTCCATATTACATATACAGATCTATCATATTCCTTTGAATAATAAATAACCATAACTTAGTCAGTCCTCTACAATTTTCTTTCCATTTTGAACCATGTTATAATGAACATGCACTTATATGCTTCAAGACTACAAGACATATTCAATTTAAGTATGCTACACTTTGAAATTCCATGGTACTAGGGGCTGAATATACGATCTTACAAATGATATGCAAATGTTCTGTCACAACTTCCTTTAAAAAATTTTTAAAATTACATTTAAGTGTGGGGAGTGTACAATGTGTATGTGTGTGTGTGTGTGTGTGTGTGTGTGTGTGTGTGTGTGTGTGTGGTTGGGCAGAGGACAACTTATGGGAGTTAGTTCTCCCAGCGATAGAACATAGGTCATAAGGTTTGTTCCCTATTGAGTCATCTTGCCACCAAAACACATTTGTTTTTAAACTTTTCATAATTAGAGAAGGTCTCACTAAATTGCTCAAGATAACCTTAAAATCACTTTAGAGACTAGGAAATCATTGAACTTTAGAATCTCCTACCTCCATCTTCAAAATAGCTGAGATTACATGCCTACCCTGTGAGATTCAACTGTATTCCCTTAATTTCTTTACTTCATAAGAATTAGAGGGAGTAGTGTTTATAAATTGAGAGAGACAACCAAGACTGGATTGGATAATACATATTAATTTATGTACAATATACCAGGACAACACCAAAACATGTATAAACCTACCCCAAAATAACTTTGGCTAAGAATCTTAGCTTAAATCTTCTGTGCTGCTTCCCGATATAAAGCAGCGAGGTATCAATAAGATATGGGTGTATCATCTGAGGAGGAAAAATAATGAATAAATAGCACCTTATGCTAAAGAAAAAAACAGGGAAGAGGTTTGGGAGTTAAAATTCCCAGTCTTTACATCTTAGATAAATGGAATACACTTTTCTATTAGAGAATAAGGTCTTAAAGCAGATACACACTTTTAAAACTCTGAGATCCGAGTCTAGGAAATGGCCCACTAACACAGCGTCAGGAGGAAGCAGCTGTCTTAAGAGTGTCTGTATATCTTTGAGTTTGGTTGGCACTGGGTTAAGAATCTTCTCCATGATTCCTGAAAAACTTTTCATAAAGAGAGAGAAATAGAGAGACTAAAATATCAGCTTTTCTCCAAAGACACGTTTTGAAAAATTATACTTAATATATACCAATTACAGAAAAAAAAAAGCTGAAGATCCAAATAAGCAGAGAAGTTAAAAAAAATCCATCATAAACTTCTACAGAACATGGGCAATACTGTATATGATGTAGATGTAAGAAAGAACTTCCTGAAGAAGGCTCCATTTGCCTAAGAATTAAGGTTAACAGCTGACAAACAGGACATTATAAAACTAAAAAGCTCTTGCAGAGTCAAAGAAGCAATCAACTGGGTGAAGAAGAAGCCTATAGAATAAGAGAGAGTCTTTGCCAGCTATACATCTAGAAAAGGTTTAATATCCAAAATATACAAAGAACTCAAAAAAAAAAAGAGTAAAAAAACTAAACCAAAACAAAACAACAAAACTATGACCCATTAAAAAAAAATTGGCCTAGGACCTGAATAGAGAGTTCTCAAAAGAAAAATACCTTTAAAAATGTTCATCTGTCCTAGCAATTAGGAAAATAAAATCAAGATAAGTTTGAGATTTTATCTTACCCCAGGCAGAATAGCAAATACCAACAATGGACAACAAATACTGTGGGGAAAGGAAGCTTCCCTTATTCCCATTCACTGTTGATGGGGTTGCAAACTGCTACAGCCACTGTGGAAACCAGTGTGGAGAATTCTCAAAAAGCTAAAAATCAATCTATCATATGACCCAGCTATACCACTTCTTGGAATATACCCAAAGGACTTGATATCCTACTCCACTAATACTTGCTTAACCATGTTCACTGCTGCTGTCTTTACAGTAGCTAGGAAATAGAAACAGCCTACATGACCTACTACTGCTAAATAGATAATGAAAATGTGGTACACATTCACTATGGAATACTACTCAGCTGTAAAGAAAAACAAAATCATGAACTCTACAGACAAGTGGATGGACCTAGAAAATATTATATTAAGTGCGGTTCCCCAGACTCAGAAAGACAATCACTCCAGTCTCTCTTATTGGAAGCTCCTAGCTCCAAATCTTCAGATGTGAGTACATACCCTGTAGTAACTGCAGAAACCAGGAGAGTAAAACAAGACCACTGTCAGTACAAAGGGGACTAGCAGGGTGCAAGTATCCTATCAGGGTAATAAAACGCAGGGGACTCCTTAAAGAAGGGAAAGGAGGTGAATACAGAAACGGATGGGAAGAGGGTAAAGAGGATATAAGTGATCTGATAAGGGAAACGGGGAAAGGAAGGGCTCCTTAGGGAGGTGAAGGAAGGTAAAATAACAATATGGACAGCTGAAAAGGTCACAAAGAACCAACGTATTAATTATTTACCTAAAAAACAATCCAACCAACCTATAGTGAACAAAATTCAGTGTATAAATATAACTTTTCTCATTTGGCCTGAAGGTGCTCTCTCCAAGAGTTAAAGAGGGCACCTAACAAAAACGCCAATGTTAGACATGAGAAGCCCTCTTTTAAGTTGTTAGCCAAGGCTGTCTAAGAGACTCCCATGACATACAGCCTACTGCTTTTGCCCTTGGTTACTCCCTGAGGTAGAAGGTAAGTCCCTATGGCTGAAGACACCATGCACTTCAGAAACAGGGCCCAGAAGTCCCTGAGCTGGAACTGATCTGAATCCCCCTTCCTGAGGACTAGATTTCATGGTACCAGAAGGTGCATGCAAGCTTCCAAAGGAAAAAGACCACCAACCGTCCTACCGTGCTATGGTGCATGAGGATCACATCAACAAGCAGCATGGCAGGATAGCCCTATGGGTGCAGTAGTGCTGCACAGACTATGGTGGCTATCAGTTCCTCTCTAATTGGAACTCAACAAGAGGGATATCATGCCTGGTACTAGAAACCTAGCTACAGTGATGTCACAGTTATTAGGGGAGAATCTACAACCACTAATTTACTAAGCTAGGATAATCCCTAAAAACAATGTAAAAATATTTGTCCTTATACCCACAGAGAAGTATAGTCTTCACCCCTAATCAAGGAAACTTTGAAACAGAGACCACTACAGAAAATCACAACCAGTCAAAATGCAGAGTTGTAGAATCCAATCCCAATGGATATATCGACAGAACACTCCCACATCTAAGGCTCAGGAAACATGTGGAGGGCGAGGGGCAGAAAGATTGTTAAGAGCTGACCAGGTACTTTGCTGTGAGAATGCATCTCTGAATGATGTCAGAAGCTACACCCACAAAAGTCTCACCAACGTGACTGCCCAAACGTGAGTTTAACAAGAAGTTACCAATGAACATGCCAAACTGCACGGGGAAAAGACAATGAGGGCTCAACCCTACATAAAAGACAAATGAGGAAGCTGAGGATGTGCTGTGGAAGAATCTTTGTACACTGTAAAACATGTACTGCTCTCATTGGTAATAAAAAGCTGATTGGTCGCTAGCTAGGCAGGATTTTCAGGGACAAGAACACTAGGAAGAAAAGAAGGGCAGAGTCAGAGGAGTTGCTAGACAGACATGGAGAGGAAAGAGGAGGTTGAAATCAAAAAGAGGTAATGCAGAATATAGATTAATAAAAATGGGTTAATTTAAGTTGTAAGAGTTAGCTGGAAACTAGCCTAAGTTATTGCTTAAGCACTTATAATTAATATCAAGTCTCTTGCAGTTATTTGGGAATGACTACAGAGACACAGAAAACACTGCCTACAGGAGTGTAAGAGGTGGGCCTGTCCAGGAAAAAGCTAATGAATTGGTTGTCTAGTGACAAATAGACAACCCTGAAAAAATACTTACAAGTAACATAATATAGACTCAACAGGTTATATTTGAGAATTTGTATGTATATACAAATACACATATGCATGCATCAGTAACAATTGATGCAGAAAAGAGGCCAAGAATTTGAAGAGCAGAGAGGGAGGAAAGGGGAGGGAGAAATGTTAGAATTAAAAAACTATCTCAAAAACAAACACCAATAATAATAATAATAATAAAGAGCCATAACTTCATTATCCAAAGGTTATATTTTTTCCATTTTAGTAAATATCCTTCCACTTTTTTGGTATGTATATGTTTATAGATATATTTCACATGTTCTGTTTTGTGATTACATTTGAATGTCAATAAATGAATTTAATCATAACCTTTTAAATGGTAAGAGTATTCTACTTTGCAGTTGTTTAAAAACATTCTCTAACTTGACATTTGCATCGTCTTTTTAAAAGACATATATATTCTCACCTTTTTACAATACTGTGACAAAATGATTTTATATATCTTTTTGCTGCACATGACTATTTTCTAGAAATACTATTTAATTATCAGCCCTCTAGTAGAACAGCCTATATCTTTAATATGGTCTCTCTAGTTCTCTATGCCTATGTAAACATGAATGCATGGGTACAACTTCAGTCACCAAAAATAATGTTTCACTGTTTTTTACTTTGTCCAATCACCATGTACTTCTGAAGTTTTATGATAATCTTTGGAAATATAAAAATTATTAAGACTAAAATTAGCCAGGCATAGTGGTACATAACTTTAACCCTAGCACTTGGGAGGTAGAGGTAGGCAGATTTCTGTGTGTTCAAGGCCAGCCCAGTCTACAGAGTGAGTTTCAGGACAGCCAGGGCTACACAGGGAAACCCTGTCTCGAAAAACAAAAAACAACAATGAAAAGAATACCTAGTAAAGGAGTCCAGAATCTTGAAGTCAGGTTTGACCAGTTCATCCACAATACAATGGCCTCCTTCAGCAACCAATGAGATGCGTGTTAGTTCTCTCCCCTTGGATGTAAGGCACTAGAAGACAAAATACTGCTAAACTGCAGAAGCTGTTAACTCCCCCTTAATATGTACACTGTATCAGCAAGCACCTACACTCAGCTATGATTCCTGCCAGCACAGCAAATATGCTTGTTTACGAAAGGATCCAGTATGAATGAAACTGAAATTGGTATTTGCTGAGAACACCATGTTTACTGGAAGCAATGGCAATACTTGCTCTGGAAAATGGTGAATGGCTAGGGAGGCTAAGGCAAGATCAAAAGTTCAAAGTCAACTTGAGCTATACAAGGAGATCTTGTTTTACTTATTTTTGAATGAAGATAATAGTACCAATATAATTGTATCTATCATCGACAGACTATATATTACTCATCACTACAGCTAAGAACCACCACTTTTACTAAGCACACTCTAAATATATAGCATAGCCTTAATTACTACCTACTTCATAGAAGGAGAAACTAAGGCAGAGAGGGGTTAGGGACAGTCATTAACAGGCAAGATACAAACTAACAAGAATCAAAACTATTTGCAAGTACTGCAAGGAAAGGATGTACTTGTCTTCGGAAGAATTACTAAATTAGCAGGGAAATCCTATTTCTAATCTTCAATGTGCAAAACCTAAACCCATAGTAATTAAGGCAGAGTCTTCATGGCAGCCACAGAATAGAATATTTGTTCAAAAAAAAACATTTTTTTCTGGTGTTAAAAACATGATTAAACACAGAAACTACTTAGAAAACTTAAAACTAATCTTTCATTTGTAATATAGATCCAAGTTTTTAAAAAGGGGGGCACTTTCAGCTATTTAAACTAAAAGTCAAAAGGCATGGGTTTACTGGTGCATTGAATTCATAAAATCGTCTTACACTATAGTTTGCAACATGCTCTGAAAAATCAAAGCACTACTTACCATTTCACAATTAAGTCCAAAAAGTGGACTGTTATCTGTTATGAAACCATTACACTTGGTAAGGATAAAGTTTTCACAGTTAGGAGAACCTAGGAGAAAAGGAAGTAAATATTCATTGGAGCTACTTCGTTTTTGTTTGGTTGGTTGGTTAAGTTTGGGGTTTTTTTTTTGTTTTTTGTTTTTTTGGTGGGGCAGGGGAGCAGGTTCGAGACAGGGGTTCTCTGTGTCAATAGTCCTGGCTGTCCTGTCCTAGAACTCACTTTATAGATCAGGCTAGCCTCGAACTCACAGAATTCTGCTTGCCTCTACCTTCTGAGTGCTGGAATTAAAGGTGTGCACCAACACACCCCGCTTACTGGAGCTATTTATTGGACAAAATAAACAATACTCTGAAGATCCAGGGGAACTCAAATAACATATTTGCTGGGAACTTTCTTTGTGTTACTTGAATTATAAAAACTAAACAAGAAGCAACCTCTCTGGTTAAGTTTTTCTCCATCCATTGTTACATTTTGAATGAATATTGTAGGCTGTTGTTTAAGGGGGCCTGGGGCCTGGACTTCCTGATTGTTACAAAGCAAACATTCTTTCTTCTTATGAGAAAGAATTTAACCCAAAGTTATTGGACACTTCCCATGTAGGTACTAGGAGAGAAAGAACAACATATCCAAATGATTCCATGTGGCATTTGTCTTTTCTAAATAAAGCAAGTGAAAATAGGACAGAGATTTATTTACCATAGTGGACATCTAAAAAGACTGTGTAGTAGGCAGAAAGTTTGAGTAACTTTCACTGTGTGCACTTAAACCCACCCAACTCTATCATTGAGATTTCCCTGAAGTCACTATTCAGAAATGTTCTTCAATTTCTTGCAATCATAACCTGAAAATTCCCTCTAGAGGTTCAATGCAGGTTCAGGGAACTCTTCCATTATATACACTAAGCTAACAACCAGGCATACACAGCTCAGAGATCCAAAACATTTGAATCATTATAGATTTCTACCTTCACACAGTTACTGAAGCAGCTAAAGTAGTATGTAGATTTTATTTGACAGGAATTAAAGAAGAGTATTAAATCTTTGGATCAGTTTTTGCCTCCTAGTATCCAGAAATTTCCATTTGAGGGAGATTAAAAGTTTTAAAATGTATCTTCCAGAAGATCTATAGGCAGTTAATCATTGCTAGGGAGAGAGAGATTTTCTTTAGTGCTGTAGCCGCTAGTAATGTTCTTTCTTAAAAATTTTATTGAAAATAAATTCCTTTCACATACAATATATCCTGATTATAATTTCCCCTCCCTGCAGTCCTCCAAGTTCCTCTCCACATCTCCTCCCCCTCTAGATCCACTTCCTTTCTATCTCTCATTAGAAAAGAACCTTTCTAAGAGGTAACAACCAAATATGATGAAATAAAATATAGTAAAATGAAAGAAAAGCTATCATATTGAAGCTGGACACAACAACCCAATAGGACGAAAAGAGTCAAAAGGCAGGCCCAAAAATCAGCGTGCACTTACACACACAACCATAGGATCTGGCATAGGCCTTGTGCTTGCTTGCTGCTTCAGTCTCTGTGAACCCATATTTGCCTTGCTTAGTTGATTCAGTAGAGGGCCTTGTTCTCCTAGAGTATTCCACTCCCTGTCTCTTCTGTGGGGTTCCCTGAGCTCTGAGGGGAGAAATTTGATGGAGTCCTCTAATTTAGAGTCTTTCTCTGCATAATATCTGGCTGTGGGTCTCTGCATCTGTTCCCAGCTGGTGCTATTGGAAGCCTCTCTGATGATGACTGGATAAGGACTGGATAAGGCACTGATCTATGAGTGTAGCAGAATATCATTAGGAATCATTTTATTGATTTTTTTTTTCAGTCCGGTAGTGTTTGGTTTTACCTTAGGTTTCTGGGCCATTTAATGTTAGGTCTTCTCTCTGGGCTATCTAGTCTCTGGTTCTTGGTCACTCAAGCAGTGTCAGGGATGACTTCCTTCTTGTGGAATAACCAAATCAGACACTGATTGGCTACTCCCACAAGTTATGTGCCAACATTGGCCTAGCAGACTATTTTGTAGGCCGGACAGACTGTAAGTCAAAGGTTTCATGGCTAGGTATACGTTTCTCTTTCAGCAGCCTGTAAAGTATCTTCCTGCACCATAGAGACTAGAATGTAGGAGTGAGGGCTCCATAAAGGAACCAGTCAACTTCTCCAGATTCAATGAGTTGTGTAGGTGTTGTCATCAGCAATGGGACCCCCATTGTCAGTTTATGGAGAGCAACCTTTTGTCTTGGCATATACTCTTGGGTTGTTTGGGGATTTCCATGAGACCTCCTTGGTCAACAACTCAATTTAATGTAACCTAGTCCTGACACTGGAAGCCTCACCTGGCTACAAGAGATGGACAATTGAGATTCTGTATCCTCCACTAGTAAGGCTTACCTTCATAGATTCTAGGAAGTTTCTATAGCACCCGGTTTCAACACTGCCCTCAGATGCCCCCCCCCAATTCCAGCCACCTGTTCCCACACTCTCTTCCTCCACTCTATTTTCCCCCACTTTACTCCCCTACTCCTATCCCCACCTATCCCTAGTCTACCCATAAAATCTATTCCTCCCTCCCAGGGAGACCCATGCACACACACCCTCTAGACCCCTCCTCAGTTGTGAGATACCACGTAGATGCTAGAAATCAAACCTGGGTCCTCTGGAAGAAATGTCAGTGTTGTTCTTTTTTTATTAATATTGATTTTTATTGAGCTCTACATTTTTCTCTGCTCCCCTCCCTGCCTCTCCTCTCCCCACTTCAACCCTTCCCCAAGGTCCCCAAGCTCCCAATTTACTCAGGAGATCTTGTCTTTTTCTACTTCCCATGTAGATTAGATCTATGTAAGTCTCTCTTAGTGTCTGCATTGTTGTCTAAGTTCTCTGGGATTGTGGTTTGTAGGCTGGTTTTCTTTGCTTTATGTTTAAAAACTATTCATGAGTGAGTATATGTGATAATTGTCTTTCTGTGTCTGGATTACCTCACTCAAAATAATGTTTTCTAGCTCCATCCATTTTCCTGCAAAATTCAAGATGTTATTTTTTTTCTGCTGTGTAGTACTCCGTTGTGTAAATGTACCACATTTTCCTTATCCATTCTTTGGTCAAGGGGCATTTAGGTTGTTTCCGGGTTCTGGCTATGACAAAAAATGCTGCTATGAACATAGCTGAGCACATATCCTTGTGGCACAATTGAGCATCCTTTGGATAGATACCCCAAAGTGGTATTACTGGGTCTTGAGGAAGATTGTTTCCTAATTTCCTGAGAAATCACCACATTGGTGAGATGTCAGTATTCTTAACCACTAAGTTATCTCTCCAATCCCAAAATTTAATATTTTAAAAGTATTCATGTTAGAAGCCATAGTAATCTACATTTTTACATTTACTGGTTTACCCACGTGTGTGTGTGTGTGTGTGTGTGTGTGTGTGTCCATTCTTGGTGCCTGTGGAGGTCAGAAGAGGGCACTGGATCCCCTGGAGTTAAAGGGCGGTTATGAACCACCATGTGTACTGGGAACTAAACCCAGATCCTCTTTAAGAGAAGTAAGTGCTCTCACTCACTGAGCCATCTCTCTGGTCTCCATTAACTGATTGACTCTTATGGCAATCCTATGATATATGAACTAAATTTTAACTCCATTTCACAGATGGCTTGTTCTCTTAAAAGTAAATTTTTAAATTCAAAATAAGAAGTCCAGGAATTTAGTAATAAAAAGAATTCATTTTGAAGTTGGATAGAGCTTCCCAACAGATGATCTGCCAAAGATATATAAAAAGGTACAAGAAGCATACAGAATACCAAATAGAAAAGACCAGAAAAAAATTCCCACAATACATAATAATCAAAACACTAAATGTACAAAACAAAAAAATAATAAAAGATGCAAGGGGAAAAATAAGTAACATACAAAGGTAGATACCTTATTTCTCAGTAAAGACTATGAAAGCTAGAAGGCCTGGACAGATGCCCTGCAAATTGAGAGATCTTTCGTGGCAGCCCAGAGTACTATACCCAACAAAACTATCAATGACAATAGAAAAAGAAAAGCATAAAAACGGGATAAAATCAAATTTAAACAGTAGCTATTACCAATCCAGCTCTACAGACAGAACAGAAGGAAAAGTTCAGTTTGAAGAGGTTAACCACACCCAAGAAACACAAGGAATAAACAATTTCAGCTAACAAATTCACTTAGTAATCAAAAGAGGATTTACTACACCATAACAACAAAATAACCAATAGATACTGTTTATTGATGACTCTCAATGTTAATGGTTTTAGTTCTCCAAAAGACACAGATTAACAGACTGGATATGAAGACAGGACCCTTTTTTCTGCTGTATCCAAGAAACACACCTTAATGGCAAGGATAGACATAACCTCAGTATAAAAGAATGGAAAAGAGTCTAAGCAAATAGACCTAAGAAGCAAGCAGGTGTAGCCATTTTAATAACTGACAAAACAGACTTCAAATCAAAACTAATAAGAAGAGCTTGGGAAGGACATTGCACACTCATTAAAAGAAAAATCCAATAAGACATTTTAATCTTAAAACATTTATGTATCAAACACAAAGGCACCCAAATTCAAAACAGAAATACTATTGCAGCTAAAAATCACATATTGTTCCTCACACAGCCATAGTGGGTGACTTCAACAACCCAATTTCACCAATATACAGGCCATCCAGACAAAAACTAAACAGAGAAAATTCTGGAGTTAAATAATGTCATAAATCAAATGGGCCTACCAGATTTTTAGAGAACATTTCACCAAACATAAAAGAATATGAGTTCTTCGCAGCAGCTCATGAAACTTTCTCCAAAACTGATCTAGATACAAGCAAGCCTGAATAGAGAGAAGAAAACTGAAATAATTCACAGCATTTTATCAGGTCACAGTGGGTCACCACAGTGATATCAACAAAGAAACTGGATGGACATACTCACGGAAACTAGACAACTCACTTACTGAATAAAAAAAATGAGTAAAGACAGAAATTAAGAAGGAAATTAAAAGCTTTTTAGAGTTGAATGCAAATGAATATACA